CAATCCTTGTTTGCACGGTTTTCAAAATCCAATTGTCACAGGGACAGATAGTGAGGTGAAATCTTCTGAACAGGAGCACAAACATTTCAGGGGTATTAACCCTTCCCTATGCTTTCCAAGACTAAAAGAATGGCTGGATTTACATTTAAAAATGTACCTGTTCCAACCTTGTATAAATTCAACTGAAGAACAAACTTACAGAACCTATCTTGTTCCTAACCCAGGAACTATCTGTATCTCCTTTCTTCCAATATGATTTGTTTGTATATTTGTAAATAAACACATTTTTATAAAGGCACAGTAGCACTTAGTTGGTAAGAAACATATAGAATCTTGACATCTGTCTAGCTATTCCATGTGATTAATTAATTTTTTTGGAAGTTTCTTTCAGTACACTCAGAATCTCACTGGTTTCCTTCACCTAAGCTGGCTGGATTCATTTAGACATCAACAGTTTCCTCTTTGGACTAGGATCTTGCTTGAGCAAGAAGACCTTCTGAATATTCCTTGGACTATCCGACTTCAAGGCTTAAGCTGCTATCCTATACCTTCACTTGGGAGCAAATGCCATTGAGCCCTTCTAACAGACCTTTCACAACCTAGTCTTCTAATCAAGGATCTCACTTTTTAATGTATAGCTTTCATTAATCTGCATGTATTTGTTATGACATGTCTCTCTTTCCATGGATGAAGCAGATATGGCTAAAGATGTCTTGCCTTCAGTCACCCTATCAGTTTCAAATCCTGGCCTGCCAGTTTTCTAGTCCAAACTCCCAATCCAGTGCAATATGCTGACATTCCTAGGGCATATACATGTTTATTTACTACATTTATTTATACCCCACTCTCTCACACACCCTGAAGGGGACTCAGAGCAGCTTCCAAATTGACAACAATGAAATGCCATACATACAAACATACAAATACAATAAACACATACCTCAAAATCCATAAAAAACAACATCAATACATTAGAATCAAACCACACAGATCCAAAATCATAGAAATAGAGCAAGATGACAAACAATAAACATGGAGAGGTTTACAATGTTACAAAATCTACATAATTGCTTTCCTTGAGACCTAGGGATCCCCAACACCCCCACACATACAAATCCATACATACCCCAATCCCACAAGCTCTGGGATGGTTAAAAATGCTATTTTGGGAGCCCCAACCCTGAAACATAAAAATACCCAAACAATTTCTCAAAGGCAACCAGAACTGATGTGGCATTACTTGCAATGCTTCAAAGCTGCTTCTGTAATAGTGCATAGTGACCTCTGGAATAGCTAAAATCAGGTGATGTGGCTATCAAGAGTCCAAAGCATGCTTACTTATGTGTAGCAAGTGTCACATCTTTGTTCTTACAGGAAAAAAAATCATTTTAGCCCTATTTATTTGTCACAATGAAGATCAAAACCAGAGAAATTACTGAGATGCAGCCAAGTCTTTCAAAACAGGAATCACAGGAACTGCAGTCTCTTTGAAGAGATGACTTCTAGCTTCACACTTCGATGACGTCCCCAGACTCCATCTCTAATTCTTCAGCAGTCCAAGTTTCAATTAACTTCTATCCATCAAAATGGAAGACAAGCTTGTGTCTGTCAAGACTCTGGGCCTGGCAGTAGCAGTTCACAAGCACTTGCAATGGCTCTCCCTTCTGTCAGAGCTTTTGTCCTTTCCTTGCACTCGGACCTGCAGGTTTCCAGAGTCACTGCTCTGTCTGTTATTTGTTTCAACTATGCAAAGCCATGTGGGCAAAACAGGCAACCTTTACTATGGATTTATTTGCAAACTGAGTAGCACATGTCCGTGCTTCCTTGGTGGCTGTAGAGCTAGTCTCATCCCCTCTCTCTATGCCATTTGCCATTTTAAATAGTAACATATCCCTGTGCAAGTCTCTCTAGTCTCATAAATATGTAGGATACGGTATGGGTACTAATATTGTGCACAACTGAATCCATAATGGGTTGAAAATGGTAGCTCCATTATGTTGCTAGATCCCACCTTTCTTTCCTTTTAAAGCTAAAGCAGTCTTATGTCTTTGAGAAATATATAAATGTAATGCCTTGCTCAGTGAATGTACCATGAATGTTGTTTTATAGGAACATTTAGGAATGCGGAAACTCTGATCTGCTTTCCTTGCTAACACACACCATTGGTTACTACTTCTGCTGGTTCCTCCTTCAGATGTAAGGAGAGGCATGCAGCATTCATACTCATGGACTTTATCACACTGAGGTGGGAAATGGCATAGAAACAGGTCCCTATCACATGATGTTGTGCAATATCCCTTTCCAGTCATGAAGCTGTCAGAGGATTTTGACACGAAAATCATATCAGTAGCCCCTGATCATGTTATGGTCCCAGGATTTAACTTATGCAATGCGGTCTGGGCACTTCTATGTCCATACTCTGTCCTCTTCCATCACTGAAGGAAAAAAACCAGAGGGAGGGGAAGTTAGCACAGCAGAAGGGCAGAATTGTTATTGAGGTATCACAATGCCACCAGCAATATGGTAGGAGTCAGCATAATGCAGGTATGTGGCCACTATTCCACATTGAGGGAATGCTGCAGGATACTGGCTTATGTGCAGTTATATCCCATGTGGAAAATGAGTGAGTGGGAAAGGTTAGGTCCAGTACATCCTCCACCTTGTGTGAATGTGGAGCAGAACAGACAACTCTGCATCTGTATGCTTGTCCACAATGTCCTGCCTAATGTACAAAGGAAGAATTGTATGAGGCTACAGACAGTATGGTTGTTGTTGCCCGTTTTTGGTCAAAAGATGTTTAGCCGCTTGTGCTGCTTCTATTTTTATCAGTTTTACACTAATTTATGCAATACTTTTGATACGAAATAAAACGAGATTTGATTAAATAATTTCCAGATTCTAAAGCAAGGAGTAGGAAACATTTTGAGAGGTTGCTGAGCTGCCATTCCCCTGGCTATGCTGGCTAAAGCTGATCGAAGTTGTTGTCTAATAAGACCTGAAGGTATGCTGTCACTCATCCCTGACTTAGAGGCATTTTTTCATTGCAGTTATCTTTAGCTCCACTGGCCATTCTGTTACACCTTCTCTCCCTCCTTTCTTTTTCTGCAAATTGTGCCTTTTATTATAATGCTCAGCTGATAATTCTTGATATAATCTGCTGTGTTAGGGGAAAATAGCTCATGTGAGATGAATGTGCAAGACAATCAGTGCTTTGTGAAGAATTGTACACATCAGACCTCCCCCTCCTTCTCCTTGAACACAAAACAAAACAAAGTTATTTGCCTCAAATCCATGTCTTCTGAACAGCACTCTCTGTAAAGTTGACCACCAAACACAGATTGTCAACTTATGAATAGTAAGTATTGTTTACCAAAATCTGATTTTAAAACCTGGGGAATTGGGAACGCACTAGTCTAGGAGCAAAGTAGCACTCTGATCCATAAGCCACAACTGCATTCATGTTCACCATCTAAACATATGAAGGGACAGACATTAGAAGCCAGAGCAAGACTTCACAAGTGCTCTATCCAGATGAAGTGAAAAACATATTATCAGAACTGAATAACAAGGTGTTCAGGGTTTGGTCAAATTACTCTATTGAACCACACTTCCCCATATCCCCCAGTCACTATGGCATATGGCATCCAAGCTCTGCTCTGAATACATTTTAAGACTAGGAATTTGTTTTTAATATTAGAAATGAACAAAATGTATCTTTAATGTGAAAAAGTGCATCTACACTGTAGAATTAATGCGATTTGACACCATTTAAACTACCATGAATAAATGTTATGGGATCATAGGAGATGTAGGCTGGATCTACATTATCTTATAATGCAGTATCCGATTCCAGATTATTGGATTTGAACTGGATTATATGAGTCTACCCTGTCATATAATCCAATTCAAAGCAGATACTCTGGATTTTATATGGCAATTTAGATGGGGCCATAGTTTCACAGGGTCCTTAGCCTTCTGTGACAAAGAGGACACTAGTGCCTCACCAAATTACATTTCCCAGTACAGTAGAGTCTCGCTTATCCAACATAAATGGGCCAGCAGATATTGGATAAGAAAAATATTGGATAATAAAGAGGGATTAAGGAAAAGCCTATTAAACATTAAGTTACGTTATGATCTTACAAATTAAGCACCAAAACATCATGTTTTACAACAAATCATCAGAAAAAGCAGTACAATACATGGTAACGTTATGTAGTAATTACTGTATTTATGAATTTAGCACCAAACATCACAATGTATTGAAAGACCTGTGGATCCGGGCAGGAGACAGTTTGTGTTGGATAATACAGAACGTTGGATGAGCGAAGGTTGGATAAGTGACACTCTATTGCACTTTCAAATCAATCTGGATGTACCCTGTGCCTGGTTATGTTTGGATGCATGTGCGTTCCAGCTGAGTTTTGTTATTTTTTTGCACTGAAATAATTTCCATGTTCTCTGAGAAAGATCCATTAATGCCATCCCTTCAAGTATACAGTTTTCCCCCATTCCACACAGAAAAAGGCTCATCACAATCCTGCCACTGAATTTATCACCTTTCCCAGCTCTCCACTCTGGTGTTCTAAAACCTGACCGGCACTTTATTTTCCACATTAATTGGTGCCCTCCTGCATCTTTGTCCCCCTTTCTTTCTTTTCATATGTATCTTGCTCTTCTTTTTACTTATGCAATTCAACCCTGCTTTGAGTGTGTGTGTTCTGCCAAATGCAACCATCCACTTTTTTCAAGATTTGACACTTTTGATGCCAAAGGAATAATAGAGGCAGAGAGAACAGGCAAAGGAGAGAAGGACCTTAGGCAAAAGAGATGGGAGCCCTTGTGTCCTGCCAGCCCAGTCAATTCTGAAATGCTTATTCAAGATTTCCAAACAGGCACCAAGCTGCTTGGCATTTGTGTGCTGCGAGTAAGTCTTGGAAACAGTTGTGGACAAAAACATTTCTGCATAGTTTTCTTTATGAACAAAATGCTGGGGGAGGTGGGCAGAGTAACAGAGGGATGGGCTACACACATCTTATGAAATATATTTAAATGAGAGGGAAGCAAAAATACCCAGTGGCTCTGTTTCTAACTCCTTTTTCTTCACTACCTTGTGTGGAGCTGGCACACGTTTCTGGAGAGAATACAAAAGTAAGTGGATTATTTCTCTGGCAGGATACAAGGGGGCAGGAGGCAAGTCACACGTCTGAAGTTCAACTTTTCTGTAGTGCACAGAATTTGGATAAAGTGTGATAAACGTGCAAAAATGCAGAAGGGTGATAAATATGAAGAAGATGAACCATTTTGAAAAGTGGTGAAGGTAAAATGTATGGCAAAGACAGAAGGAGAAATCCCATTGAGACCCAGAGTGGGTAAGTAACAGTAAGCAGAATTCAGAAAAAGTAACTTTAAAAAAATAAAACTCCCAGGATTTCCCCTACCCAGTCAGCATGGCCAGAAACCTTGTTGGCTAAGGGATTCTGGCAGTTGTTCATTAAACAATAACCTTTCCAAACTGTGCAGGTTGGGGTTCTGGGAATTATACTTCAAATTGACATTTTCTCAACTTTTTCAAGCTATGCAGAGAGTAGTCAAAAACTAGACTTTAATCAGGAAAATTATGTGTGTAAGTGAATAAATTTATTTATTACCTATTCCTTTTAAAATGAGCACTTTGTTGGCATTATGATTTGCATTAAAAGGAAAGTGAAAATATTTTCCTGGTTTGTTTTCAGAGACAACGTTCACATTTGCCTGGCAGGTTTCTAAAAGACACCTGTATGTGAATATCTTCCAAAGAAAGAAAGAAAAACTTTTGATGAAATTTACAGCAAACTGTGTTGATTAAGAAATTAATCTCTAATTTTAAATTAACTTTGAGTTTTTTCCAGGTTAAATTGGGAAACTATTAGCAGAATAGAATGTGGAGTAATCCCTGACAATCTACAGAGTACTAGAAAGAGGAATGGGGACACTGTGTAAAACATTGGCTGACAATTAGTTTTGAAAGAGGCAAATAAACAAGGAAGGAAGGAAGGAAGGAAAGAAGTCAGGATAATCTTCTGGGTTTTTAGTTAAGTGTGTAAACCACTGCAACACAATTTATGTACAGCAGCGTTTCTCAACCTAGGGGTCAGGACCCCTGGGAGGTCATGAAGGTGGTGTTGGAGGGGTCGCCAAAGAAAATACAGAAAATACAGTATTTTCTGTTGATCATGGGGGTTCTGTGTGGGAAGTTTGGTCCAATTCTATCGTTGGTGGGGTTTATAATGCTCTTTGATTGTAGGTGAACTATAAATCTCAACAAATGTCAGCAACTCCCAAATATCAAGCTCTATTTTCCCCAAACTCCAGCAGTGTTCACATTTGGGCATATTGAGTTTTCATGCCAAGTTTGGTCCAGATGTATCATTGTTTGAGTCCACATTGCTCTCTGGATGTAGGTGAACTATAACTCCAAAACTCAAGATCAATGCCCACTAAACCCTTCTGGTATTTTCTGTTGGTCATAGGAGTTCTGTGTGCAAAGTTTGGTTCAGTTCCATCATTGGTGGAGTTCAGAATGTTCTTTGATTGTAGATGAACTATACATCCCAGCAACCACAACTCCCAAATGACAATATCAATCCCCCCGCAACTCCACCAGTATTCAAATTTGGGCGTACTGGGTAATTGTGCCACATTTGGTCCAGTGAATGAAAATACATCCTGCATATCAGATATTTACATTCGGATTCATAACGGCAGCAAAATTACAGTTATGAAGTAGCAACAAAAATAATGTTATGGTTGGGGGTCACCACAACATGAGGAACTGTATTAAGGGGTCACGACATTAGGAAGATTGAGAACCACTGATGTAGCTTATTCTATAAATAATTGTCAATGTACATGCACAAATGTGCATATAAGAATACAGTTGAATACACTTGCATTTCTTGGGGCACAGGCAACTCCACTGCTGACAATATTTGATTTCTCCAGTTCAGTGAACCAGACCCCACTTAACAACAGATGAAGTGCCAAAACCCAAACCCAACTTTTCAGTCTAGTCAATCGTCTTGGCCATTTCTGACTATGGATTCCTTAATGCTTTAACTGCTTTCTATTTTTTTCAGCTGAGTCATCCCCATCTCCATCTCTGTAGCCTTCCACATCACTAATCTTTAGATAATATAATACAGTATTGTACTATATCTAGGCAGACTCATAAGTCACTGCTTAGGATCAAGGAGCCTACTGGTGGAAAAATAGAAAAGCATGGGATTGTACCACTTTTTTTAAAAAAAAAAAACCTTTGGTAGATCCAAAGAAGATTAACAGATTTACAAACAAGCAGCCTTTGCCTCTGAGACCCAAAATTGCAGAGAGGTTCAAGAAGAAGCACGTACATGAAAGGAATGTCACACAATTTTAGAGCTCTGAAACCTAGCATGAGAAACGTGCTTTAAAAGGTCTTTAAGGAGTCAAAGGATTGCAAACAGAGTTTCAAAGGCTAAGTCATAGCTAAGAATTTAAAAGAGAAGCAAACTGTTTTGAAATGTTTGTTGGGAACCTGCTTATTAGGAAATTAGTACTCTTAGGACCTCATCAGTGTGAGGGCAACCGAGGTTTGGGGGGGGGGGGTGGATGCCAGCCTCTGTGGTGAATCTGTGGGGTAGCAGGGAAATCCTATCACATTGCCCACAGCAACGCTTTCCCACCACACATGGGGAGGCATCACTATGCAGCTTCCCCCCATGCTGACCCAGTGGCCCTCCAAGAAGCCCTTCATGTTCTGGGCAGAGCACCCTAGGATGCTTGCGGCACAGTTCATCTACATGGTCCTGTATATCAGGAAGGTACTTGATTGGGGAAATCCATTCTAGATTGTCAAATGAGATGTCATTATTACATTTCCACATTAATGACAGTATTAATGCCATCTTTGCCTTCGTTCTCTTTCAGATGTCTGGCAGGCATGCCATGCTCTCCCTCTTTCAGATGGTCTCACGTAGGAAAAGGGTAACAGATGATGGCTGCAAAGAATCAAACTTGCGCCGCTGCCTTTCCACCATGGACTTGGTGGCTCTGGGGGTGGGCAGTACATTGGGGGCTGGGGTTTATGTCCTAGCAGGGGAAGTAGCCAAGACCAGCTCAGGCCCCAGTATCATCATTTCCTTTCTGATTGCTGCTCTAGTATCCATCTTGGCAGGATTGTGTTATGCTGAGTTTGGTGCTCGAGTTCCTCTGACTGGATCGGCTTATCTCTACAGCTACATAACAGTTGGAGAGCTGTGGGCATTCATCACTGGCTGGAACCTGCTGCTTTCCTACATCATTGGTACAAACATATCCTGACACCTCTGCATTTTGATTTTATCATGTGGTTTCACTAATGCCAGAGGTTTGGGTTCAACAACAGACAACCAGGACGGAAGGCAGAACTAAAGCAAATTCTCTACCTCTGCTTAGCTTTGCTTTAATTATAATTTGGGAAGTTCACAAAAGTGACTGTATAGCCAGTCTGTAGCTCAGTGGTGGAGATATGTCTCAATATGCTCAAAAGGTGGTTATATTTATTAACCCAAAAGCCTGCATATAATTTAAGGCAGGGGTCCTCAAACTAAGGCCTGGGGGCCGGATATGGCCCTCCAAGGTCATTTACCTGGCCCTCGCTCAGGGTCAACCTAAGTCTGAAATGACTTGAAAGCACACAACAAAAACAACAACAATCCTATCTCATCAGCCAAAAGCAGGCTCATACTTCCCATTGAAATACTAATAAGTCTATATCTGTTAAAATTGTTCTTCATTATAATTATTGTATTGTTTGAAAGTGTTTTTGCACTACAAATAAGATATGTGCAGTGTGCATGGGAATTCATTCATGTTTTGTTCTGTTTTTTTTCCCACATTATAATCTGGCCCTCCAACAGTTTGAGGGACTGTGACCTGGCCCTCTGTTTGGAAAGTTTGAGGACCCCTGATTTAAGGCATTCTTGATGGCACTACTTAGAAGCAAGATTCAAAAATTTCTCATCCAAAATCTCCTGAACAATTTATTGCATAAATTCGCTGGGTTTTCATTTGTCCAATAATTGGATTAGGTGTTCCCAGCTCAAAAAATTCAGAGGGTTTTGCATAAGTAGCCCCTTCTTCAAATCTGAGTGTCTAATTTTAAAACTTTGCAAATCAAGCACATTCATAATTGCTGTTTTTCCCCATTATGTTTCAAAACACACACAGCTTTAAGAACTAAAGCTAATCTGAGAGATCCAGTCTCCTTTGAGGGACAAAAAAAACCAGATGTAAATAACAACAACAACATTGAACTTCTTCATTTCTAAGACACCTTTTTCCCCTAGATAAACACCTCTAAAAATGGGGAGTGGCTTAGAATCACAGGTGCATCTTATGCATTTTTGTTGGTGGTGGTTTTACTGAAATTAGGTTGCATCTTACAACTAGTGGTGTCTTACAATTGAAGAAATAAAGGTAATATAAAGTGCTGGACTTTGAATAGGAAGACTCAAATTCAAATCTGTTTATTCATACAATTAGTCATATGAGCAAACTTACCTTATGGGATTACTGTGGAGATTCAAAGCAAGAAGGAAACCATGTGTAGTGGACATGTATGTTCGTAAACACAAAGGTTTCCCCTGACATTAAGTCTAGCCTTGTCTGCCTCTGGGGTGTGGTGCTCATCTCCATTTCTAAACTGAAGAGCCTGCATTGTCTGTAGACACCTCCAAGGTCATATGGCCAGCATGACTGCATGGAACACTGCTACCTTCCCACAGAAGCAGTACCTATTGATCTACTCACATTTGCATGCTTTCAAACTGCTAGGTTGGCAGAAGTTGGGGCTAACAGCAGGATCTCACCCTGTTCCCTGGATTTGAATCGCCGACCTTTCAGTCAGCAAGTTCAGCAGCTCAGCGGATTAACCCGCTGTGCCACCAGGGGGCCCCATGTACGTTTGTAGTGCAGTACAAATAAAAGAACAATAGCAAAAATACCAACATTTTTGACATGCACGGACATTTTTCATAAGATCAGTATGTTTTGCCATTAGATCCATGGAAATAGCACAGGAACCACTTTCTATATCCTCATCTTTGTTGGGGCTGATTTGTTTCCTTGGTGGAATTTAGATTGTAGAGCTAAATGGTATTATTTTTTATGCACATCTAGGACATTAAATGTAGGAGTAATGTCTTTCATTGTTTTGCCTTTATTGTTAATGACTTTGAGTCTCTATATTGGGAGAAAGGCAGGATAAAAATTAAGTGAATTAATAATAAAAGAAATAAAAATGGCATAGCGTTGCTATATCTCCAGAAAGAGAAAATGTACGTTTTTGGACTTCAGCTCCCAGCCAGGATCTCCCAACTAACATGGCAATTTCCCCACATTATGAATATCTCTCATTGTTAAAATCTGATGTTCTCTACCAATATCCAACAGTGTTATTTTGTTTAATTGTTTGTTTTCAGGCACTTCTAGTGTAGCCAGAGCCTGGAGTGCTACATTTGACCAGCTCTTGGGAAAACAAATGGAGGCCTTTTTCAGCAAGCACATGGCCATGAACTCTCCAGGACTGGCTGGATATCCTGACATCTTTGCCGTTTGCCTCATCGTCATCCTAGCAGGTACATTTGCAAGACACTCGCCTTTATCATTATGGAGAGGACCTAGACATTTTTCTCCCTTCAACTTCTAAGTTTTTCTTGCAAAGTATTACCAAATTTTTGTATCACTCTTAAACTGAATAGTACATGACCTTTGGCCATTAAAACATGCAGTTTTTGTAATTAAAATAAACTTGTTTTGTGTTTTGGTATCCAGAGCTTTCTTTGATTGTGTTATGTGATCCATGCCCTGACATCTTCCAGACACTTCAAAGTGTCTCACAAAACTAATTTTAAAATGCAAAAAAAACAACAACAAAAAAACCAACCCCACACCAGTTAAACAAATTTTGTTAAAATACAATTGAATTAAAGTTTATTAAAAATCATGTCAACAAAATACACTTCTTCTTCTAAAACCCTTTCTTCAGCAGCCAGTCAACTGCCAAACACTCCCCTTCTTTGGCACCATAGCTATATAGTAGGCCCTCCACTTTTGTGAGAGTTAGCGGACCCTTGCAAAAGTGAAAAAACTGTAAATTAAAAAAAAACCTTGAGTGAACACCTTTCCAGAAGTTAACTATAAAATTACACTGAAGGACCTACAAGCACCTAGAGAAGAATTATTTCTAGGAATCTCTAGGTCTTCCAGTACAACTCTAGAGGGAACCCTAAATAAATAATCAAGCTAGCAAAAATTAAAGCTGCAAATTTGGAGTGACGACTGCACATATTGTAGGTTGGAGGTAGGAATCATAGAATTTTAAGAGTTGGAAGGGGCTGCAATAGTTATCTTGTGCAACCCTTGCACATCCAATCTCTGTTGGATCATACAGCCCTTCAGATGCTGTAGGACCCTGAAATAATGACAGCAATAATAACTATTCCTTATAGCTTGAGGATTGGTACAACATAGTCAAAACACACCATTAAAACACAATACCATTAAAATATGTGTATTAAAATACGTAGGAAAAAGACTAAAACACCAATACTAATAAAATGTAAATTTTAAATTCATGGTTTAAAATTGACTGAGCAGCCCTGCCAGAAGAGATAGGCCTTCAGCTGCCTCTAAAATTCTGACAGTTCATTTAGCTGTCACATCTCTTTCAGCAGATCATTCCATAGTCTAGAGATGGCCGATGGAAAGGTCTTTAGTTGCTGGTGTGGTTCTTGCCAGTTGAAGAAAATGTGCTCCAGAAAACTTTAGTGCTCAAGGTAGATTACACAGGAGAAAGTGATCCTGTAAGTGATCTGGCCTGAAACCATGTAATGGTAACATTTGGTAAAAGCAATTAGAAGTGCACAATTCTTATCCCTGATTGAAAATATTTTCATATGTCTGGTTGTCAATCTGTAACGTCCCTTGAGTGGCAGTGGCTTTCCAGGGTTTCAGACAAGCATATTTTTCCAGCCTGATCTGCTGACACTGGAAGTGAAATTCAGAGTTTTCTATATGCAAATAATAATATTCTTTATTTATATTCCACTCTATCTCCCCGAGGGGACTCAGAGCAGATTAGGGGTACATATATATGGCAAACATTCAATGCCATTATACAATTGACAGAGACAGACAATACATAAACAGAGTCAGGCTTCCCTCTTTCATTTCCGGCATCTAGAGACTGTGCTCAACTTGACCATGAGGAGGTGCTGTTGTTCCATTCTTCCACGCCAAGGACCCTGTTAATCAAACTGCTGGCATGTTTTTCAGAGGCACCTTTTACCTCCCCACTAAAGCAGTACCTATTTATCTACTCACATTGCTGTTTTCGAATTGCTAGGTAGGCAGAAGCTAGGCTGACAGCGGGAGCTCACCCCGTCCATGGCTTGAACTGTCAACCTTCTGGTCAGCAAGATCTTCTGTAGCTGGTGATTAACCCACTGTGCTAGCCTCATCCCAGGTGCTCTTCTACTGGGCTATGGGTCCTGTCACTTAACTACTTTTTTTTTTTTTAAGAATGTGGGTAGGAAAAAATAATGCTGGAAGCTATTCTTATCCACTACCATAAAGAAAGAAGCCATTTCCAAAATGCTGGACACTTCCAGACTGGATAACTGTGTCAGTAGCTTCAATATTGGTTTCTGTAGTTCTCAGCTTTGTTTGTTTGCTTTTCAATATTCAGACAATGTTTCTGTTGTCCCAACTATTTTTGGCAACTCTCCAGACTAACTAACATTTTGTTTCCACACTGGAGTGTGCTTCTTTTTGATTCCAAGACATAAGGCAGGGGTCCTCAAACTAAGGCCTGGGGGCCGGATGCGGCCCTCCAAGGTCATTTACCCGGCCCTCGCACAAGGTCAACCTAAGTCTGAAACAACTTGAAAGCACACACAACAACCCTATCTCATCAGCCAAAAGCAGGTCCACACTTCCCATTGAAATACTAATAACTTTATATTTGTTAAAATTGTTCTTCATTTTAATTATTGTATTGTTTAAAGTGTTTTCTGCACTACAAATAAGATATGTGTAGTGTGCATAGGAATTCATTCATGTTTTTTTCAAATTATAATCCGGCCCTCCAACAGTTTGAAAAACTGTGACCTGGCCCTCTGTTTAAAAAGTTTGAGGACCCCTGACATAAGGGAACAAATAAAAATTTCTTGTTCTCTTTATTTTGAATTTTTTAGCATTAAAATATTACAGTGCATTGGAAAAATCAAACTTTTGCAGTGTAACTGTAAGATTTTTTTAAAAATCAGGGGAGAGAAAATTTGTCTTTTAAACCACCTCAGCAAATTATATCTTTTTTATTTAATAAAAAATAAAACACTTTGTAAGATTGCCATAATTAATCACTATATAATTAATCTATAAACAATTTCCTGAAAGAATAACATGAGTGGACATTGAAGCAACAATAGACCATTCTGAAAGGTTCCCTATGTTTTCCTTTCCATGCTGCACTTGCAATTATATATGTACTCTACATCTGTCTTTATCACCTGTTTTTGTCTTAAACGTTCAGATTGAGCCAGTTGCAGTTTACACAGCTTCAAATTTTCACTTGGCTGTGGAATTTTCTCTCAAGGGACTTCAAATTGGCTTTGCCTTTGTTGAGCTTTTGTTGGACAGTTGAAGTAATATTACTCCAAAAGTATTTAAGACTAGTTTCAGGTTTGGCCTTTACAATTGTTTTTAATATTGTATTATAAAGGAATTTTTTAAAAACCTATTTTATTCCCAAGTGTCACTTTGAGAGTCACAGAGGGTAGAAAAGTAGTAGAGATTTTAATGAATGAATGATTACAAATGTTTAGCCTTGAAGTCTTACTCCACATATTTCATCAGTGGATTTTAATATGTATTTTAACTCTGTATATCTTGTTGTATACATTTTAATAGTGCTTTATCTCTTGTTTTAATGATGCTGTATCTCACCTCAAGCCACAGGGAGAGGCAAATAACAAATTCCTCCTCCTCCTCCTCCTCCTCCTTCCTGTCTCCATAGGCCTTCTCTCCATTGGGGCAAAAGAATCCACCACAGTCAATAAAATCTTCACAGCTATTAATATATTGGTCCTCATATTCATAATAATCAGTGGATTAATCAAAGGAGACCTGAAAAACTGGAAGATGGATGAGAATGATTTAAGAATGGCTATCAATAAAATTAGGTAAGAGAATAGTGTATCAGTGACCAGATGATAGTGAACAAATAGGCGTTGCAGTCTGACAATTTCTGGAAGGCAACACCGCATCTCAACACAAGACAAAACTCTATTTTATCCTGGTTTCCAGTGAGTTCGATTCAGAAGTTTCCACTGAACTCTGTAAGATCTGAGAACAAGAGGTATTGGGATACTGAGGACAAAGTGTATATGTCCTCACCCTTCCACCCTTTTAGCCTTCATGTGAGCAGGCCATAGGGCTACTTTTCTGTTTAAATCCAACGTTGTATGAACAACATGCAAGCAGAGCTTCCTTGTGCTGACTTCCTTTATGTCATCTTCCTTCAAAGCAACCAATCTGTGACTGTCAATGGCACCTTGATGTTTGGGGTTGGAGGGTTCATGCCCTATGGTTTCAGTGGAACCCTTGCTGGAGCTGCTACATGCTTCTATGCTTTTGTTGGGTTTGACTGCATTGCTACCACAGGTAAGAAAATGATACATTTTTATTAACCTTCTTATAAAGAAAATAGGAAATGTTTAGTAAGGTTGTCTCATAGAATGAGTTAGTTGTGTACCAGCATTGAAAGTTTGCCATACTATTTTGGAAGCTGCTCTGAGTCCCCTTGGGGAGAGAGGGCAGATTAAAAATATATTATTATTATTATTATTATTATTATTATTATTATTATTATTACTATTAGCAGTAGTAGTAATAGTAGAAACACAACAAGATGAGTCCACATCAAACAAGATCACCATGTTGGCTGTTGTTTTGGATCACATGTCAGACACTTCCCAAGTGTCTAGGACTGTGTGATGTATCGGCAAAGAATGCGTGCAGATCCCAGTAAGGTGGCCTTCTGCAGCTGGCAGATGGTAATTTTGTCAGTGCCGATTGTGTTTAAGTGCAGGCCAAGATCTTTAGGCACTGCACCCAGTGTGCCAATCACCACTGGGACCACCTTTACTGGCTTGTGTCAAGAGTCTTTGTTATTATTATTATTATTATTATTATTATTATTATTATTATTATTTGTTCTTATTTTTAATCTCTCTTGGGTTTATTCCTCTTCCTAAGAAGAGGAACAAAAATTTTCTCTTAGGTGTTTCTGTTGCTGGAACAACAACCAAAAAAACCCATGGCAGTTTTTTGGATGCACTACATCATTGTTCCATTGCTAGAGTGTTAGGAAAATAACTGTGCTGTGATCCAAAGAGTCAAAATATGTATTTCAGAGGAATGATATGGCTACTCATGTCTTGTGTCTACCAGGGGAAGAAGTAAAGAATCCCCAGAAATCAGTCCCAATTGGAATTGTCCTCTCCCTGCTCATCTGCTTCCTAGCCTACTTTGGTGTTTCAGCTGCCTTGACTTTGATGATGCCATATCATCTTTTGGACCCCATGAGTCCTCTTCCAGTGGCTTTTGAATACATTGGATGGAGCATGGCCAAGTATGCTGTAGCTGTGGGGTCACTCTGTGCTCTAACCACCAGGTAAGGAGGACAGTTGCTACTTTTCAGGAGGAAATATAAGTGTCTAATTCAGCGTCTCCTCCGCACAGTACTGATTTTTCAAGTGCTTCCAGGATATCCAAAAGCAAGGCTTTAGCCAGTAATGTCAATTGATGCTCTTGTGTCTAATTTTTTCTAAGACTCTACCATATGTAGTTGTTCAAAGAACTTTGATTCCAAGCTTTACAGAAGTGTATCAGTTTCATAGCACCAACTCTATCATTTAAAGAAGCCTCCCAATAGTTCCCTGTACAATTATGTTGGGCTACAGCCCCTATCACTCTCACTAACATGGCCATTTGGGGATAAGAAGGATGGGAGTTGCAGACTAACCCATCTAAAGGGCAGCAGACTAGTAAAACAGCTGGATCTGTGTTAACACTTGGAGAATCTTGAATGCTTTCTCTCTCTCTGGTTTGTAAATGTCCAGTGCAGTTTCCCAAAAGGTTACTCAAAAATGAGGGAAAGACTGTGATCTTTGTTCCTTTTCCCTTATAGTTTATTGGGTTCTATGTTCCCGATGCCAAGGATTTTATTTGCCATGGCCAGAGATGGACTCCTCTTCCAATCGTTGGCCAAAGTGAGCAGTCGGCAAAGCCCTATGGTTGCAACTATTGTGTCTGGAGCAGTGGCAGGTAAATGGGCAAAGAGACCTAATGCTGAATATATATTAAGATCATGGACTGAGATTTAAACAGTGGATCTAATTCTGTTTTAAGTGGACTATTATAAGGACTGAAATTTATTCAGAATCCTATTTCCTACATTAGGCAGCAAAATGCATACGAAACACCTATGAAGACCTGAGAGCAAAAGTATGCTCTTATTCCACAGCAACTGATATCTAGAAATGTGATGGAAGAACAAAATGAACAATTTCCATTTGAAACTACACTTTGTGGACACTAGTCCACCTCATAAGATGCATGTACTGGGATCTAACTTTTCATTGATTTAATGGATCTATACTAATAAGGGTTAGGAATTGAATTAAGACCATTGCCATCACGAGAAGAACAATCTATAGCCATCTGATTTTATCTAATTCTTTTTAAGAAATATCAGTAAAACTCCCTAGTTTAACTATGCATTGTGTAAAGAGGTTTTTCATTTCTTCTGTCCTGAATCTCACTATTCACCTACATGAAAGAAATCCAGCTTTTCAAATCAGGAACATGAGGTGGTGGAAGGAGAGCAGGTAGCCTATTGCTATCCATTTTTTCCACACCATACATATTTCTATACACTTGTATTATATTTTATTTATTTATTTATTTATTTATTTATTTATTATTTAAACTTATATGCCGCCACTCCCCTGGGGCTCGGAGCGGCTTACAAGAATGGCTAAAATCTAACAAAATTTAAAAGCAATTTAAAACAATTTAAAAACAACACTATCAAACATTAAAAGCCTGTCGAAACAGGTATGTCTTACATGCCCTGCGGAAAGCTGGTAAGTCCCGCAGGGCACGAACCTCAGGTGGCAGAGCATTCCAGACTGATGGCGCCACTGCTGTGAAGGCTCTGCGTCTGGTTGCCGCTAGACGCAAGGTCTTGACACTGGGGACCTCCAATAGATCTTGGTCCTCAGAACGGAGGGATCTTTGGGGTTGGTAGGGGGTGAGACGATCCCTCAGATACATTGATATATCCCCTCAGATATATCCCCTTAACTTGTTTTTAGAAAAAAATACACACAGAGAGAGATTAAGAATTAGTCTGCATTGTAAAATTACCACCCAGCAGTGGTAATGCACTGAGAAATCTATACTGTTGTACAATAAAATCCAGACAACAACATGTAGTGTAGTTGTAATGGCATAGTATCAAGTGATAAGTTCCTGCAGTAGGTATGAAACAAGAATAAATTAGAAAGTAGAGGTCAGTAGGACAATTCAAGATTCCTTGCATTTGCAATAGGTCCTCTTTATTGTCTTTTCAGCTGTCATGGCTTTTCTTTTTGACTTGAAGGCCTTGGTTGACATGATGTCCATTGGAACACTGTTGGCTTACACTCTGGTAGCCATCTGCATTCTTCTCCTCAGGTAATAAGCTGTTTGTGCTGTATTTCTCACTGGTGGTGTGCCCATAAAGACATCAGTGCCCATAAAGGCAACCTCTTGTCTTGGCACAACATTTCCTCAACATGTTGTATCAATCTCATTGATTGCACTTGCATTAATTGTAAATGCAGCTGGTTGTCCATACCCACAGATTTCTGCATTTGCGGATTCAACACTCCACACCTTGATAATATTTCCACAAAAGAATTTTTTTTAAAAAGGCTTGATTTTGCCATTTTATATAAGGGCACCATTTTAGTGTACCATTTTACATAGTGGGAGAATCCAAAGATTTTGGTATACACGGGATCCTGGAACAAAACCCCAGTGGATGCCAAGGGCTCACCTGTATGCTATGGAGCAAAGATAGTATTAAGGAAAGAAGCAAATGCATATGGATTTTTGGAACAGCATATGTACTGTGGATCTCAGGTGAAGGGGATCTCAAAATTAAGCCAGTTTAGGCCCCTTCTACACTGCCATGTAAAATCCAAATTATCTGCTTTGAACTGGATTATATTAAAGTGTAGACTAATATAATCTAGTTCAAATCAGATGTGCATTATTTGATATAATAATCTGGATTATATGGCAGTGTAAAAGTGGCCTTAGAGTATAAAGTCAAATCCTTTTTAAAATTATTGCTATCACTGACAATAGGGTCTGCAGTGTTAAATTAACCATTTAGATTCATTGAGTTCAAAAGCAATGCTTTTGGGTTGGAAAGATTAGCCATTTACAAGAAACGTTGCCCAGGGGATGCCCGACTGTATTTACTCAAACTTCGAGGAGGTTCTTTCCCTGCCCCCACCCCCACCCCATTGCTTTACAACATTTTTATTTATTCAGTGCCTTTGACACAAACTAAATCAATTTCAAAAGATTTCAATTACATCCTCACACGATAAATGTGTATAGAGTTGCAACTATCTATTTAACAATCTCTGCTTTCTCTTATCATTTTTAGCAGAGCTTGAAAAAGCTACTTTTTGCACTCCAACTTTCAGCACCCTCCAGTCACTATAGTGCAGAAGAGCAACTTTTCTAAGTTAGGCCTCTCTTGAAGGATGCACATCGAAGCCCACCTCTAAAGCAACTCTTAGCAAGCAACGGACAAAATGGAAACAGTATCAGCTTCTTGTTTATATACAATACATTAACATGCTTTATAGGTACCAACCTGATCCCAACTCTCCAGATCCATCAGAAATGAAGAACCCAGGCAGAATTCTCTGGATGGACCTCCTTCTTTATCCTTCTATGACCCCATCCCAGCATTCTTCCAACCTGGTGTCCCATACTGTATTTATAACTGGTGAGTATTAAACCAGCAATCTCATTTTATCCTACCATTCAAGGAGACCGGTGATTTTGACCAGCCCCATGGTTTCTCATGGGAGAGACCGGCTGTGGTTGGTGGGAGTTGTCAGCAAAAACCTCAGGAGGATATCATTTTAGGTAAGGTATGGTTATTGTTAGTATATGGGAACTAAACTGGCAATCCCAATTAGTTCTCTGTCATTCCACTTTTTCATCTGCTTTTGAAATGTCCCAGTTTCTCTCCCCTCCTCTCACTTGCTCTGAGCTTACTTCGGCTGCTACAAACAAAGTTCAAAGTAGCTGTCACTCAGTTATCTCACCACAGAGAAATGAGAGGAGGAGCAGGATTCTTGCCATCCCACTAGGCCTAGTCAAAAACTGTGGGAGCCCCTCCTAGCTTATGTGTTCCTCATTAATAACTTTTCCCATTGTAAGAACACTCTGATGTTGCTGTGAAATGTTGGAGAGTACGGCCTTATCTTTTCTAATAAGCGCTTTCTCAGAGCATTTCTTGTATATGGTGCAATCCTACGTGTGAAATATGTACTGACTTCTCTGTACTTCAATAGGCTTTTTTCCCCTGTCCAGCTATTCTAGTCTGCATCATGAGTGTGCTAGCCACAATGGGACTGCCATGTTTGATCTCTGGAGGGGCCTGGTGCATTGCCTGTCTTTCTCTTCTATTCCTGGGGATTGTTGTGGCCTCCTTAATCATTTGGAGGCAGCCTCAGAGCCAAAAGAAAGCTGACTTCATGGTAAGCAAGTAATATTTCCCTAAAGACACTCTTCAGCAAATAAATGAACAAATGGGGTGCAATGAATTTACCAACAACTGAAGACAGAGTTCAGACATACCTGTTAAGTTAACATGAATAGACAGGGAACAATTATGTTTTTTACACACTTTGCATCTGGTCAAAGAACATGCATACTGTCTATGTGCTAAAGTTTCACTGCTTTGTTCTTCTCTGCATGCCTGTTAGCCATGTGTGTGTGAGAGAGAGAAGGGGGTGAATTTTAAATATTACTGACATTTATCCGCTTAAACCTTCTTAACAGCATTTAATGATTTAACATGGTACTTCAAAAAATTACTATTTGAACTACAGTGCTCAAAATTCCCTCTGTAGTAGAATCACTAGGTCAACAAGAGATTCTGAGATTTGCAATCCAAAAAAATATCATTTCTAAGATGCAATCACAAACTCAATATCTCTATATTTACTACCAAAAGCTTGTTCAAATGAGGAAGGCAGCCTTTTGACTGCTGGAAGGGCCAGCTAATCAGGACTGGACATTGTATTGCAATTGGAAGAATAGATTTTCCTTGCCTTGATCTAGAAGAAAAGTTTGCATCCTGCAATTATTGTGAATGCACAGCATGCTAGCCATTAAAACTAAGTTCAGGCAGTTCCCAAGTTACAAATATCCAACTTACAAATGACGCATAGTTAAAAACTGGAGTGAGATAACAGGAAGTGAGAGAAATCTACCCCTTGGGAAGGAAATTCACTCCTGAAAGAGTTATCATGGGGAAAATGTTTTCCACTGAAACTTTCTCACCAACCTTTGTTTCCATAACAAGTCACATTTCTGAAAACACAATTACCACAGGGACAGAAAGTGAAGTGAACAGAACCTATCTTGCTTGTAATAATAATAAAATAATAAAGCTTTATTTATATTCTGCCCTATCTCCTCCGGGGAACTCATAACTTGGGGACTGCCTCTACATCTAAATTTTCACCTCATGTCCCTTTGATTTGCCATGTTCAAACCTGGAAATGCTAACAGGCCTGCAGAACTTGGCCATCAGATAATTTCAGATTTCACTTTTTTTTTTACAAAGTGCAATTCTAACTCTGGGTTGTAGAAGACAACATTATGATCACTAGTAGATTGTAGCAGCAACTAGCTTGTCTAGAATAGGGAAACCTCAGCTTGTTGAGTTCTAACACAGAGCATCTTTCAGGGCTGTGCAGTCTTGCCAGTTTCTGGAATGGAACCACGCATCCAGACTAGTTCTTGGACCCTCTAACCCAAGTATGTTGCTGTGTGTTCTTTGGCTTGGGGTTACAGCTCTCTTTGATCCAACTCCTTGTTTTCCTTTGGAAGTGGTCTCTGGCTGAAACCCAGGGCTCAGTTAAGATATGCAAAGACATTAAGACTAAGTTTAAGAGACTTTATAGCATTACCAACAAAATTTCAAGAAAAACAGAAATGTTGTTGCGCGTCCCCTCATAATGTGATATCCCAAAGTCTAGCTTACATAACTTATTTATAAATCTGGTCATGAAAAACATGGAGCTAAATGCCCATTTGTTGTTAGCTTGCACCTCTGAGTTACACAGGGCTTCTGACTCATTCAGGGGTATAACCCTGAAAAATGTTCCTTTATAGTCTAATCTCCAAATATTTCTATTCTATGTAATTTAGGTCCCATGCTTGCCTTTCCTACCCATCCTCAGTGTCCTAGTCAACACCTACCTCATGGCCCAGCTCAGCAGTGATACCTGGCTTCGGTACACAGTGTGGATGATTATTGGTAAGCCCTTGAGAATGTGGGTGGTATTTCATAGTAACACTTGGGAAAAGTAATAATAATTGGTGAAATAATTATATTCCTGAGAGGGCAAGTATTTATTTTGAAGTTGTACTTCACTGGGTGACCCAGATTTATTTTTGATATAACTCCTATCCTTAATATCCTACATAACTGATGGGTCTTTGTAGTTTTATCTCTCTAAACTCTTACAGTAGCCTTTGATAATACATTCTTACAGTATCAGCAGCATAAAGCATCCAAAATGGTGTGATTATGACAAGTAGCCCTGTTTTCAGTAGTATGTCTCATATAGCGCCATGTAACTAAAAAATGACAAGCTGAAGAGGCATGAACCACCTCAACTGGGCTCTCCAGGCCAATGGATATTCCACCTCAGACATCAGAAGAGCTGCAAGACCAAGAACAAGCCACGGGAGTCAAGATGAAGATCCACCCAGAGGAAAAGTGTTCCTGCCATACATCAAGGGAACCACTGACCGCATAGGGAAGCTGATGAGGAAACACAACATACAAACAATCTACAAACCCACCAAGAAAATCCAACAAATGCTACGTTCAGCAAAGGACAAGAGGGATCCTCTCACCTCTGCAGGAGTCTACCGTATACCATGCAGCTGTGGACAAGTCTACATAGGGACCACCAAACGCAGCGCACAAACAAGAATCCAGGAACATGAAAGGCACTGCAGACTACTCCAACCAGAGAAATCAGCCATAGCAGAGCACCTGATGAACCAACCTGGACACAGCATTTTATTTGAGAACACAAAAATGCTGGACCACTCTCACAACCCCCATGTCAGACTACACAGAGAAGCCATTGAAATCCACAAGCATGTGGACAATTTCAACAGAAAGGAGGAAACCATGAAAATGAACAAAATCTGGCTACAAGTATTAAAAAACTCTAAAATTACAACAGCAAAACAACAGAGAGGAAACAAGGACATCTAATCACCTTTCAAGAAGAGTTTGCTCCAGGCACAGTCAGCCATTGTATGCTAATCAAGGTGGTCAGTTGAAACTTTCACACCTAGCTCCAAGCAGAAAGAGTCCTTTGTCTCACCCTGGTCATTCCACAGATATATAAACCCTTTCCTAGTTCCAACAGACCTCACTACCTCTGAGGATGCTGCCATAGATGCAGGCGAAACGTCAGGAGAAATGCCTCTAGAACATGGCCATATAGCCCGAAAAAACCCACAAGAACTGAGTGAAGAGGCATGTTTCATTTTTTCTTCTTCTTTCTCACAAGCCTGGTTCGTTTTTCTTGGACTGGTTCATGGGCATGAATACTGTAGTACCACAAGGCTGTACATGAAATATTTCTAAATTGGTAACCTCCAGATGTTTTTTGGACACAAGTCATTGACCATGGTGATTGAGGTTGATACAATTTGGAGAATAACTCATCTGGAGGGTCCCAGCCTGGGGAAATTTGGGGCATGCTCTGTGTAGTACTTAGTGGAGTCATGTAATGAAATAAAAATGATGACTTGTACAGATAACTTGGCCATCAACATTCTCATTTCACTGGCAGAGTTTTCATATTGCATTTGCTCAGTCAGACACACAGTGCTTTTCATTTGAGTCTGTTCTCATTTCAACAAGATAAGCCATTCAAGCAGTGTGGCAGAATCAAATGTGGAAAAATTAATCTGGATGATCGAATCCGTGGGCATTTCAGGCTCTGAAATAGCTGTTATCTGTGTTGTAGGCTTTGTCATTTACTTTGGCTATGGGATTCACCACAGTGCAGAGAGACAAGGGAGCAAAGATCCGTCTTCCCAGAAGACAAAGCACACAACCATTGATACAGATTCAGCTGTCGCTTGGAAGAAATAATTCAGGAGATGCCACATTCACAGTGTGGAGCAACTGACTTTTACCAATAGAAGAACTTCACAGTGATGTGATTCCATGATGACTGTCTGTTCGTGTTTAATCATCTAAAGCAAAACCAATTCTTAGATGATGATGATGATGATGATGATGATGATGATGATGATGATGATGATAACTTTATTTCTAGACTGCCCTCTCACCACAGAAGGACTTAGGACAAATGTTTGATCAACTAATTGAAGTTATATCCTGCAGATGAGTTTGTTTGGCATAGCAAGTTTGTTTGGCATTCATACGTTCATTTGGTGTCTTTAAAATAAATGTTTTTAATGGATTCAGATACTACCAACCCCTAATCTGTAATATGGAGATAATACATTATAACAGCATTGTGATAATGGATAGTGAGCTGTGCATAAGCTACTCAAAACTCTTGAAAGCATGATATGTGACTAAATATTCACAGGTGATGATGATCACTGAATTGTTTTAAAGAAAAAATAGATATGTTCTTGGAAGCATGTTGGTCATTAGTTCTGATAAACAAAGGAAATGTGGTTAATGGTCAGAGTATTGGAATATGACTAGGAAGTCTAGTTTCAAATCCCCATTCTGCCATGAAACTCAATGTACTACTCATTAAAGCTCAGACTAACCTTCCTCAACAAGAGCAGGTCCTTGCTTAATAATGCGAAAGAAGGATGTTATCTGTGCTTGTGTTATCTTAATTGTCAACCACTTTTTATTAACACTCATGAATTTTTAAGTACAAATGCTTCTCTTAACAGTCCCATTATCACTTCCCCCCCATAAGAGTCCAACAACGCAGCCAGATGTGGTGGTTCATACTAATAAATCAACTGGAGTGGGAACAGGCTTCTTGCCAAGTGAATGGGTCTTCTTAATTACCGTCCAAGACCACATCACCTCAGAATGCTTTATACTGCAATGAGGTAATCTCACAATATTACATTGTTGCTGGGAAAATCCATTTTCCATCTCTGTATCTATTGTAGGGATTGCAGCCAAGGTCAGAGGGAAAAGGAAAGCCAAAGTTGTGAAAGTGTTGGTGGCAGCAGATTACATAATTGTCCTTCCTGATCAATAGGGATTACACTTTTGGTGAGTCTTGGCTTCACTGCAGTGCTGTTTATCAAGTGTTAGGAAGCACTGTCTTGGGTATCCCACTCTACTTGCAGAAATTTTACAGGTGAAGGGGTACCTTTGTACTATAGAATCCTAATGCTTTGGTTCCACTTCAACTGTTATGGTCCTATCTCACTGAATTCTTTGCTTTGCTGTTCAGAGAGCACATTTAGAATACAAAGTCAGATAGCCTTTGGCCAAACTATAGCCCCCAGAATTCTGTAGGATGCAGCCACAGTAGTTAAAAGTGGGATGATAGTTGCATACTGTGGAAAGTGGGATCATAGTTGTATACTGTGGAAAGGGTCCAAGAACCATTGAGTTGTAATGAATAATTTGATGCCATCTTGAATAACTCTTGTGAGACACTCATCCAAAATTCTTCTCATAACAATAGAAAAGGGGTCCACTATAGTCCTGGGGACCTACCTACAGAGCTGGAACTGCTCCATGAAAGGCTGTCTTAACAAGGACACTGGAGTTCCAAAATATTAAAAATGTTTTTCAATAATAGATCCTACCCAAGGAGTCTCCTAGACAGTGGCTTGGATAGTGCAGGTGTTACAGAGAACTTTCTTTAGAGACCAACACCAGATATGTACTGTCGACATAGACTGGCACCTGATCTAAGAACCTGGTCAATAATAATGGTCCCTTTTTAGTGGATTATTCTTCACTGATGCTGTGTAGAGAACTTGGCTATACATATCTGACAAAAATCCCATGAGGATTCTCACTGCAGGAATATATAGCAAGCAAGTAAACAAACAAACAAGGGACTCATGCACAAAGTAAGCAGTGGTGTGGTGGAGGCTCCTTTTTGGAGGCTTTTTAAACAGAGGCTGGATGGCCATTTGTTGGGGGTGCTTTGAATGTGATTTTCCTGCTTCTTGGCAGGGGGTTGGACTGGATGGCTCACATGGTCTCTTCCAGCGCTATGATTCTATGGTGCCTGGTGGAGAGTGAATCTGCTTTGGATTTTAGTTTGAATTCTGGAGATGCTATTCAAGCTCCTGAATCCTGTATCCAGAAAAAAAAATCTAGCTTTTTAGATCACATCTCTAAAGTTCAAACTAAATGCCAATGTGGTTTTATCCCGGTGTCTGGTGATCACTCTATCTTTGTTATTTGTTGAAATTGAGAGGGTATGGTAGTTAAATGTTCTTCTGGATATGAATAACAATGAAGCTCTGATTTTTAATCTGTTATCATGAATAACATTCCCCACTTGAGAGTTTTATACTGGTTAAAATGACTAATAAAGGAACTTTGTTGATTGAGCTACATTTACAGGTGGTCCAAGAGTGTAAACTAATTTGCAGTGAGAATTTATTATTCCCGGTTTTCTTAAAAACCCCTTTAGTGTGGTGATATAACATGCTTAAACCTACTATCAAATTGATATAGCTTCCTGGTATAGGAAAACCTCAATCTTTGCCAGGAGCCCTCTTAGTATTTTCCCCATGTTATATTACAGGGCAACAATGAAATGTATGACGACGTATATCCTTATTTCAGCTATTTTAGAGGTAAAGAAGGATATAGAGTCTCCCCTAGACACTTTATTAAATCTGAGAACCATTAGCAGCCTTCCCCCGCTGCTTTCTGTAGAATGTATCTGAAAAGGACTCAGTAATAATATTTTGTAATTGGAGATTTGTTGCTTTTTAAAACCCGGAGTTTGCCTTGCAGTGTGCAAAACTGAATAGACCCATTCACCTCCGCTGTGGGATCCTGAACTCTTGCGGCACTCATGTGTGAAAGAGATTTTGTTTTAACGAGGGAAGCTGAGAGTTTGCTTTGCTTTGAAATTACTGAATTCTGTGTCCAAGTCTCTCCTTCTTGCCGCCCTTCTCTGACCCAAAAGAACACGTTGGTGTGAGATTTCTTCTTTAGGTTAAAGTTGCAGCAGAGATAGCAACTTTGCAATCGGGACACTGACTTCAGTGGAAAGAGACGTATCTAATGTGTGCCTAGTACTCTGCCTCAAGATGAATTCTAAGGGAATGGCTGTTTTGAGCTGTTGCCTACTCCTCATTGTTTGGGGTAAGTCTTCTTTTTCCTTCACTATTTGTTCCTCCTTGGTGTTCATGATTTCTCCACCTTGCTGAGAAAAGGTTTTATTGGATCGTCTGTACAAGAGAATGCCTGGATCAGAACAAGAAAAATATATCAGGAGCCAAACTGAGTAGAGACCAACTTGTGATCTTAGGCTTGACCTTGGACCAAGTTTATGCGTACAGAATTACTATAAATTCAAGTAAACAAGACTTGGACAAAAGTAAAACTGACTTGTAGTTGGGTAAAGATATATACAAGCACCTAAATTGCTCAGTAAACAGAGATTGGAGTTAATTATTGAAATCAATTAGATTACAAATTAAGTCCACAGTTTTCTAAGGCAAAAACTGTGAACTGTTTTTAATTGAAATTGTTTTTAAATTGGCTGAACTTGGAATTTTAATATTAATTTCATTCCAGAATTGTTAGTCTGTAATTTAAATATGAGACAGTGCTGAACTGCTAACCATTTTTACATTTTCCAGCTGGTTCCTTACCCAAAACCCCTTGAATTTTTGCAAAATAACAATTATAACTGCATCCTCTTCCTCCTCCTGTCTCTCAGGGGAATTAAGGGTGTTTACATTTAAGATCCAGACCATTTATTTTAGTTTATGGTTATAGCATAGCAATTTAATTAATTTCAAGATTTAAAAAATGAACCAACAATGATCAAGGGCAACTTTGAAATGGGTGATCTTTATTTCAGATGATCCTGCTGCATTCTATATCAGATACTGCACAAAGATGCATCACCAGATCTTAAAAACTAGCTCAAAAGAGTTTCTAGCTGCCCCAGGGCACCACTGCTGACATTTGCAAGGGGGCATATTTGTCTTTCCCTCTCCCTGAGTCATGCCAGTGCTCTTACTTGTGCCAGAAATGGCTCCCCAGGATGGCTATAGGCTCTTTTGAGCTCCACGGTCACCATGACAATGGTGACCGGACCACAGAAGTAAAGGCTACCATCCAGTGGGACCATATCAAATTCATCCCCACTGGCAAGTCAGGACTCCGTCCCACCATTGCAACAGAGTGGAAGCAACCAGTGAAGCCACACTTAGGGCTGGTGCAGAGTGCTACACTCTGTATTAGCCCTGGAGTTTTCTGCCCATGTAGATGTTCTCTACACAAGTTGTATAATTACATATGGAATTGTGATGCTGTGAGGACAGTGATAAATCTATGTTCTGAAGTTTACAATCTGAAAGACTTGATACAAAAGAAAAAGGAATTGGAAAAGTAAACGTGGGCACTCGTTCTTAGTAATAAAGTTCATTAGATATGCTTTCATGCAATGAGACCTGAGTTGGTCTCATCTTCCTGTTATTCCTGGAGGTCAGGGGGGGCATCTTCAAGTATTTCTTGGCTCCCTGACTCACAACAGATGCCAAAGAGTGTTGCCCTTCGGTCTCCATTTTGCATTTTTATAAGAATGGAAACAAATTTGTTTTTTTAATAAAAAATGTTTTAAAGACCAAATTTTAAACTGTTAATAAATACTTTATAAAGATCAAAACTTATTTTAAAGTACCATCTTTTTGGGATCTTCAGTTGTAAAGGGAAAGTTTGGAAAAGTTATCTTTTTGCACTGTGACTCCCAGAATCACCCAGGCTTTAGTTAAAGGTATGTGCCACTGTACTATGATGTATCAAAATATCTCTTTGTAGCTGAATGTCAACAAGAAAAGCCCTCCAAAGCTACTGCAAAGAAAGTTACGAAAGAGCTGAAAGCCAAAGAAAACAAATTTTCCAGAGCAGCTGGTAAAAAGGTACAGCAGGGAGCATCAAAGTTTTTAAAGAAAGGCCAAGCCAAGCCCACGACTACCATTCCCAGTCAAAGGCAGCCTTCACCTCTGTCTATTCTAACCCGTGCGGTATCCAAGGGGCAGTTCCAGAAGGTCACTGACACACTGACGCTGAGGGCAGGAGAAACACTGGACTTGCGTTGCAAGGGAAAATCGGTCAAATGGAGATATCCTCCTTACCTGGAGGATGATGACACCGAGTATCGTCTCAGGTGAGCATTGATGATAGAAGATCCAGCTTTAAAATGATGTGTGACATAAAGGAAGTAGGCAAATAGTTGTTTTAATGTAGTTTATGTAATCCACATCCTGCCTTCTTCCCAATATAGGATGGAATGCAACTTAACATATTATCAAAACACAAAAGCAATGTTGCAAAAACAAAATAAACAAATTAGTTGAAGCAATATAAGTAGGCTCTAGGTATCAACTGGGGTTAGGTTACAGCCCCTCCCCCCCCCCCCCCCCCCCCCCCCGGATACTAAATTCTGTGGAAATGCAAGTCACATCATATACAATAATGTAGTAAAAAGGTAAAATCAAGACTTGCCTTTTGAATATTTTTTAAAGATATTTTCAAGCCATTAATGATTGACTTCATGGTGCAGACTTCATGGATACAGAGGGCCAGTTCTATAGAGCCAAAGTTGCCATTGACCAATGCAATTAAAACATTAATTTTAAACAATTAAAACACATTTACAATGTAGTATAACAAACAAGACAGCAGTCAATTCTTCCCCCATCAGACCCATTAAACCTCTCTTGGAAATGTGTTCCATAGCTGGGAGCAGCTTCCAAGACGTCCCACTTCTGTGTTTATAGTAAATAAGCCTATGAAGTGATGGGACTAAAGGCTCATATGGGGAGATGTGATCTTTCAGATGGTTTGGGGCCAAGCTCTTTGGGATTTATAAATCATAACCAGCATTTTGAATTATGCCTGATAACAGGCCAGCAACCAGTGAAACCGATTCAACAAAAGGGTTAAAATCAACCCTCTCTCCACAGGGGATATATTTCTGAACTTACCATAGAAATAGGAAACTTGAATACTAGTGGATTTTATTGATATTGGATCGTTTCAATCTGAAGTTGCTATGGAAGACCTACCTAGAAAATTTCTCTACATTGCCTTTTTCCTTCTCTCTCTCTTTCAGAATTAAATACTTTGGGAAGCACAGTCAGCTGATTGTTGTCAATGCCACTGCTGCAGATACGGGAGAATATAGCTGTTGGTCTTTCCAATGCTATGACAGTGAGTGCCGTGATGGAGAAGACAAGTTGGGAAAAACATACATCTTTTTCACAGGTTGGTCGTGTCTTGGTTTAGTGGACAACTTTCCATAGTTGGTAGGAGTAAACAAAGTAGGCACTGCTGAAGATTCATGAGGGTAAGATGTATTAGAACAGTCTTATGCAAGCCAACCAAATATGCTTGACAGGACAATACCACCACTGTCCTCAGCCAGTATGGGCTGGGATGTCAGGAGTTGTTATCTAACCACTGGAAAAACATTGGGTTCAGGAAGGTGATGCTAAAACAAGCAAAGAAAACTAGGCTGCATCCAGCCCACAGTGACTTTTTGCATTCCCAGGCCTCTGACAGACTTGTAGGATTATAGGAAGCCAGGGTCTAAATCCCCGGGCAATCATGGAAATCCACTGATGGACCCTAGGCAAAACACAGTCTTTCAATCTCAAAGAAAGACACAGGGGACACTTTCCTGAACTTATCATAGAAATACTAATAATAATAATAATAATAATAATAATAATAATAATAATAATAATACTTTATTTATAGGCCGTCCTATATCCCCGAGGGGAAATAGGAAACTGAGATATAATCATGCGAGTCAGAAAAGATTTGAAGACACACAAAAACAATATTCTAAAATATTCATAGTCTCCCCTCAACAAAGAGAATGACCCTAAATGGTATGACCTCAGAATCCAGGAACCCCCCCCCCCCCCCCCCCCCCCCCCGTAAATAGCTGAAACCATAGATAATAGTGAGCCCTATATTTTAACTAGACCTGGGCTGGAAGCATACCACAGGATCCTAACAGAGGACCTGGAGGGTATTTTTGGAGCATGGGTAAGTCATACTGTGGATAACAAATCTATATAAATAAAAATGTAATGTTAATTTGTGGGATTAACATAACTCAAAAACCACTAGACAAATTGCTGCCAAATTTGGCCAGAAGACACCTACTAACACAAGGAGTAACCATCACTCATAAAAATTGATTTTGTTATTTGGGAGTTGTAGTTGCTGGAATTTATAGTTCACCTACAATCAAAGAGCATTCTGAACTTCACTAATGATAAAATTAGGCCAAACATGGCATATAGGACTCCCATAAACAATAAAAAACACAAGAAGGGTTTGATGGGCATTGACCTTGAATTTTGGAGTTGTAGTTCACCTACATCCAGAGAGTACTGTGGACTCAAACAATGATGGATCTGGACTAAACTCGGCACAAATATTCCATATGTCCAAATATGAACACAGATGGAGTTTGGGGGAGAGTGATATTGTCATTAGAGAGTTGTAGTTACTGGGATTTATAGTTCACCTACAATCAAAGAGCATTCTGAACCCCACCAACGACAGATTTGGAGCAAACTTCCCACACAGAACCCCCATGACCAACAGAAAATACTTAAGGCCATCCAGTCCAACTCCCTTCACCAGGGCAAGAAAACGTACTCAAAGCCCTTCTGACAAAGACCCATCCAGCCATAGATATAGATAGATATGATTCACACAGAGAGATATATAGTATCATAGATTTGAAAGGGACCCCTAAAGAAGGACAATTTGCATGTTGCATATTCCAGAGTAGGCAAACCATACAATCTCCACATCAACACTGACAAACAGCAAGAAATATTGTTTACCCACAAACATCAAGAAATTACATATATTAGAAACGAACATTTTCTCATTACTTTATTTTCCAAATCACCAGACTGGGCCACAGGAAAGCATGGCAGGGGGTGGCTAGTCATGAATAAAAGATTTGCATGATCTTTCTAGATTACTGGTGGGCAACTGGTAGCCATCTCCACATTATTGCAATGGAACTCTCTTTATTCTTCATGACTGGCAATGCTGGCAAGGGCTGGTGGGACTTGTATTACTTTCTGCACCTCTGGAGTCCAGCATTACACCTTACTTGACACTTCCTGCTTTCTCCTCAGACCCTCTGGAGTTATTTGTGCCTACAGAAAATTATTATGAAGTGATCCAAATGCGTACAAACCAACCTGCTCTTCTGCCTTGCCAAGTGACAAATCCACTCGCCAAAGTGACTTTGCACCGGGAATTTCCACCTGAGAAAGTTGTGGTGGATGGCATAGATATCTCCTATGACGTGAAGAGAGGGTTCATGATCCACCGGCCACGTCCTTCCCATGCCGGCTCCCTCTTCTGCATGGCCAATATGGATGGAGTGAGGCAGATCTCCACAAAATATATGCTGATTTATGTGAACTGTAAGTTGCCACAAGAATAAACTTTAAGTCTCTCTTCTTTTCCCCAATCTCTCTCCTCCTTTGAATCAAGGTGGACACATCCTCCCCCCAAAAACAAGATTTCCCCAGAGACACACGTCTCAGCAATTCAATTTGCAAATTAAACCGAGGACCTGTAGAGGAACAAGGGGGATGTAGGAAGCAATGGTTGTGAATGACAAAATAGGACAGCCTGAGAATGATTTTGGACAACTAGATAGTTGTCTTGCTGGTACTATGAAAAATACAAGGAAAATGACATACATTTCCCCAATGTTAAATAACTTTAGGAAAAATATTTATTGGCAACTGGGGGGTGGGGGGGGGGAGAGAAAGATCAGAAATGCTATTGGTAAATAGGGTGAAGGAGAGCTTCAGATGTGTAGAAATTTTGAATGAGTTCTGTTTGTTGGGTGTAATGAAATGTTTAATTATAATGTGGATTTTGGATATATTTATTAACTAGCTGTCCCCTGCCACGTGTTGCTGTGGCTCAGTCTGTGTATATGTGTTTTGCGTGTATACATATGTGTATATGTGTATTTATGTGGTTATGTGCATGTGTTGTAATGTATTTTTTGTTTTTTTGGCTTTATAAGTCTCTTCCGTTGCGTTTTTCAGTGTTTTATGAGTGATGGTCACTTGTCGGCCTGATAGGTGTATTGTGTCCAAATTTGGTGTCAATTCGCCCAGTGGTTTTTGAGTTATGTTAATCCCACAAACGAACATTACATTTTTTTATTTATATAGATAGATGTTGGGATATAAGTGCTGGCTAGCTGAGGGGTGACCAGAAACCCAGGGCGTTGCCATAGCGACATAGCCCTCAAGGCAAAAGAGAAAGGGGCGGAGCCAACTGCCACTGAAAGAAAGAACATCGTTTGAAAAGGGGCAATTAGCCAAAGGATGGTTGGTTCAAACTGCCACGTGACAATCTAGAGTGCGCTTCTGTTGGGTTTCCTCAAAATCATAATTTTTTCACAATTGTTTTATTACTTCAGGAACCCTGTTTTCTGAGTCAAAGGGCTGTGGGTATGCCAAGGCAGGAAAGCCCTAGTTTGCTGAACTAGTAATGAAAAAAAAAAAACATCTAAGAGTGTTGCTGACTTAAGACTTTTTATAGGAACCTCAGCCAAACAGGAGGCTGGGTTGGGATTCAACCAGAGCCTTAATGATCCCGTAAAAAGAGTGCAGACAGTATTGACACTCTCATCTTATCCATGTATGAAGTTGGAGTTGGATTATTTCAACTCTAATTTCAGCAGAGTGTTGGCATTCTGTAATAACATCTTGATTTTACCTTGATTTTATAAAGGCCACCGGTCTGATTCAGCCAGGCAAGTTCCTCTATTAGGGTATCACTGAGGCGAGGAATGGTTTGTTAGAGGGCCTTCTGTGTGTGTGTGTGTGTGTGTGCGTGCATGTGTATGAGATCTAGCATCTTAAAGAAGAAAGGAACGTCAAACAGAAAGTTTATTGTGAGGACTCTATTAGTAAATAGGAAAGATAACTGGAGAATTATTCTAAGCTAGCCTGAATCTCTGAATGGAAGAGGGAATCAGAACAAAAAAAGACAGAGAGAAGCGGGAGAAAACCCTGAGAGTATCAGTCTACATCACAGTGGGGGGCTGTAAAATTTGGACAAAGAGGGAAGGGGTTTTCAAGTCAACCTAACTTTCTAACCCTGTCTACTATTTTCCACCATAATTGTGAGGCACTCTTGTTGTTGCTATGCCAACATGGTTCTAGTTGGGAAACATTTGAGATACCCTGTGAGCAACATCCTCTATTCTCTTTTGGCTTAAGCTTCATAACTTACCATGCCACAGTCCTTGGGGCACAAAACCACAAGGTAGGGGAAAAGGTAGATCTGAACTGACAGGTAGCTTTCTTGGTAAATTGATGGAAATAGACAAACATTTCCAACCTCCAATGATTTAACAATAATAACAATGGAAAGTGTTGTCCCCGTCTCCTCCCGGGGTACAAATATTTGAAATAAATAAATAAATAAATCTTCTTCTATATAATGTGAATGAAAGTTTGGAGGAAACAAAAAAAATTCTTAGAGGAAGAATGCATATGCAAAGTCCAGTTCTGAAATGGAAAATAATGTATACACCAAGCTTTGATCTGCAGTGTGGCTTGTTCTGTAATGCAATGTCCCATTTTTTGTATCTTTCTTTGGTTGGTGAACTTTCAGGGGGAAAATTAAGAAAAGTGTCTAACTACCTCTGTTTTACTCCATCAATGTGTTATTAGGGCCGGGCTTTAGCACAGCAGGTTAAACACAGGCTGTAATAAATCTTGCCAATCAAAAGGTTGGCAGTTCAAAGCCCGGCTTGGGGGTAAGCACCTGACCTTTAGCTCAGCTCTCTGCCCACCTAGCAGATCAAAAACAGAAATGATGGTGCCATTAAAATACCTCCCTGGTTAAGCGGTACCTATTTATCTAAATAGGTACCGCTTAACCAGGGAGGTATTTTAATGGCACCATAAGGAAATACCGGGAAAATGCCGGCGATTCAATCAAAATGGAGAAAGTCTGTGAACAAGGCTCTTCGGCATGTTGAATGGAGGGACAACACCGCCCCCCCCCCAATAGCCAGAAGTGAGCATAACCTCCAAGACACTGAAGATGGGAAAAGCCTATATACCTCTACCTATGTGCTGAGCCTGTCCTGTCAGTGTATAATGGCATTGGATAAATAAATAAATAAATAACTAATCTAGCCACAAGGCAGTGGGGGCAACTGATTTCTGACTATAACCAAACATGAGGTCTCTGAAACATGGATATTTTTTTTTCTTTTTCCAAATCTGCAGATCCCTCCTCAGTTCCCAAACCAGCTATTCGAGCCTCAACAGCCTCTTTTCACATTGGAGACAATTTCAATGTCACTTGCACTGTATTTGGGGAACCAGAAATTGCTGTTGATTTCACATGGGAATATCCAGGGCAGCAAGTAAGTGGCATTATGCTGAGGTAGGGAGTGGGTGTGGGAAAGAGAAATGGCTGGCACCATGCGGTATGGCTTTTTTTTTTACCTGTAGTATTTCCTTCTTAGAACTGGAAACAAAAAAAACCTATCATGACCCATGAAAAGAAAATAAAGGGACCCAAAACCAATCTGAATCGGGCTCAACCCTTTTAAGATAAAGGTCATGGAGAGAACACAAAAGCAAACTGCTCATTTTAAGAGAAAAGAAAAAAATAAACCACATCATCATGCGGTTTGACAAATTTCTGACTATAGGCACAGATCTTGTTGATGCCCACAACCTGTGAGAAAGAGCTAAATATATTCCTGTTGAGGAGCATCCTATCTAATTAAACACAGCACTTTGTGCGCTTATAATCATTTTGATTTCATTATTATATGACCTGCCTTTCAGGGGTCACTTTCCTCACCCAGAAGTTGAGAAAAAAACAGCCAAATGACAGAAAGCCATCCCAGCAAATCTACGAATGTATAAAGAGCAGCAGTAAAAGTTCACAGCTCCTTAATATGAACTGAATGAAATAAAAACAGAAAAAAGAGCAACAATAATGAAGTCGTATATATTTCCTCAGGAAGGGAGTTCCGCAGCTACTGAAAATAGTGAGCCTTGAGGGGCTATAAATCTGTACTGTTTTTCAAACAGGATCTCTTGGGAAACCTGGGTAGGAGAGGAAGGATTTCAAGCTCACCCAAGAACAATTCCATGAGGCATTTTAATAGCTATTTTATATAAGAGGATGTGTAGGTACTTGTAGCACCTATAAGACTAAACCAAACTAAGGTTTGGTTTAACATGACCTTTCCTGGATTAAAATTCATTTTCTCAGATGGGTCAGATATGATTTTTCACAATTGGAGATCTGGCCTCTTTGAAAAGTCTACAATTGTTTCTTAGGTCTCCAAGTTGTCTCACGCTGCATTAATTCTACAGTGTAGATACATCCTCAGGCTGGGATACCTCTGACCTTCAAGTCATAAACAAAAGTGTGGAATGGTGGATCAGCAACACTGACACTCACACATTCCCAACTCTTGTGCCAAGTTTCTTCATTCCCTGAATTGCAGAAATGCACTTGTTTTTATTTGGAAAGTCACAGAAGTGAAGCAGAGCTCTGACCTGAATAAGGTTTCGAAGCTGGGTTGGATGTACTGTATGTACTTGCAATATTTGGAAGCATTTCCCCACAATGGCTAAAAAAATATTTTGCCTTGTCCTCTTGTCCTGTTAGGTGCCAAGATGGCGTTTATTGATTCTGAGGAAAGCATGGGCTATCATCCTGCACAGCCCTTAATGCAACCATCTAACCTTTAGGAGGAGACTATAACAGAACTATGTTTTGGCCAGGCAGCTTTCAGAAGGATTGCATTATCTTGCCACCGAAGCTGAATATTGCTTAAGCTCCTCTCTCTACAGCTACAATGAAAATTAGACATTATGTGGTCTGCCAGAATTTTGTTAGGGATTGAATGCTTTCTCAAAAAAATATCTTCTCTCACTTTCAGATTGGAAGACCGCCTTATGTTCGTGAACACACAGACTTGGTGCGACAGGGAGGACAGGTGCAGCAGGAGTCCAAAAGCATCCTTTACATCGATGAAGCTCGTACTGTGGATGATGGGTTGTATAGTTGTATTGCTGAAAATCTCCAGGGCAGCACCACAGTGTCTACCCGTGTTCGTTTGATTCAAGCCACATTGGCTCCCAGAAAGGCAAAGTCTGGGTAGCCACCTGTATGGTTAAAAGTCCCATACACTTGGGAGTCCTAAAGCTAAAAAGTTGATACCAGAGAGAAAACTGGAGAAGGCTCTCATGCCATTGTGTAGAAGAAGGGATATTTGTAGATGTTGCTTGTTATGCAACTAGGTAATAGGTGTTGACACGTTGAAATTCCCTTTTCTACAGCCAGTTTTGGTACAGGAGCTATCTCCAGTTTACACCTTGACAATCATAAGAACTGACTTCTTTAAAGTTAGACTTATCCTTTGTTAGTTACATATTAAAACAGCAAGATGATGCATTTTTCAAAGCAGACACACACAACCTGGACATTGCAGATGAAGATAATCTCTTGAAATATTCAGTAGTTTTGTCAAGTTGTTGCAGAGCCTGGAAATCTTTTATTTGGAACTGCAGCTCCTCGCACCTCTAGTCATCATGTCAAGGATTGTGGAGCCAATTTTTAAAAAACTTTCTAGCTGAGACTTGCTATTGTGAGTCCTGGTGGGGTTCTTTTGATCTCCACTATTACAATGTTATGATTCCCCTCAAACTGCCATGACCACATCCATGGAATCCCTGGACTGGAAGTTTAGGGAAACATCCTTAGAATCCTCATTCAGAGAGCAATAAGCACTTCACCAGACTACAGATCCCAATATCCTTTAGGATTTAGCCATGGCATTTCAAGTGGAATCTAGTACTATAATAGGTCAGGTGAAAGGGCCAGCTCATCTCTGTTGTGCCCTCTTTCCAATGAAAATCCTGTTTAAGAAAGTCTGAGATCCCATCCAATCTTGAAGAGTGAGCCCTGGTAAAGATAGGAGATCACCAAAAAATGCCAGGTGCCGTATGCTATATTTTAGAGAAAGTAACTGGCAAAACCACATCTGATTAGTTATTTCTTAGGAAAACACTATGACATTCATAGGACTGTCATAAATTAACATGTGGCTATAAGGCAAGTGCGTGTACACACACACAGACACAATAGTTGGGGATGGGGGCTTGAATTGTAATAAAGAAAATAACATGGAGAGAGTAGTCGTGACACAAATAGCATCACAGTCAAATCTGGACAAACACACACACCTTGCTGTCATCTGTCTGTATCAAAACAACTGGGAGATCAAATCATGTAACTTCTGTCAAATCAAATTTTGTATGCATAGCGTTGATAAACTTGTTATTACTTTAATGATTGGGATGGATTTGTGTGACTGAACGATCTTCCCGCACTTCCATAAAACAAATCCTTATACATAGAGAATAAGAACATTTGGGAGAAAGTTAAGCTTGGACCTTTCTTGACATCTAGGGCCGTGATACTCTGGGACATAGGGCTGTGTGAAAGGGCCCTGAGACAGGTTTCACACAGGACAATACTCAGCTTTTCCACCTACTTGGGTTAGGAAGGCCTCCACTGGAAGCTGCAATTTTCTGTCACAAAGACCAAATGGTGGAATTAACTTCCACCCAAAATGAATCAATGAATTTAAAAAAAAAAAGCCAGCATATACTTGTAGCAAATGGCATGTAACTGCACTTATGTAGGTTTAGGCTACTTCCAGAGATCTTACATAGTTAAATCTGAAAATGCAAAACACAATCCTTGGGTTGTGTATGAGGAAGTATAAAAATCCTTTATTCTAATGCAAAAACAAAATACATCTCCAAATGTGCAAATCAATTGATGTAGGTTTTGGTTTAACAGTGTTCTGAAACATTAATAACAGGGTAGGTGTATATTAAGGGCAGAAAGAATCAAACAAAACTTTGCTGAAATCAACCATGTTATAAGTCTACTTTCAAATGTCGGATCCGAAAGGTCCAATTTTAAAAATTGTATCTAAATAATTCTATGTATCTAACTAATTCTATGCTATTACTATGCTATTACTATCAACTGAATACTTTTGTGCCTTTTTTTTTTATGCTTCCCTTGAACCAAACAGCATACAGAATCAGGAATCAGGGTAATCGAATCATAGAACCCTCTGAAGCATTGCATTCCACTGATGAGGCCTCACCAAAATATTTTTTAAAAGTAAGTGCATAGCAGAAAAAGGGCTCAGTTGTTGTGTGGATCTACAGTGCAGTTTCCAAGACTGAAACATGGACATTTCCCTGAAATGTATTGGCTTCCTATACTCTGTGCCAATATTTATTCACAATTCACAATGTATTGTTGAAGGCTTTCATGGCCGGAATCACTGGGTTGTTGTAGGTTTTTTTGGGCTATATGGAGAAAATGCCTCTAGAACATGGCCATATAGCCCGAAAAAAAAAAAAAAAAGAGAAAATGCCTCTAGAACATGGTCATATAGCCCGGAAAAACCTACAACAACCCAATTCACAATGTGCTACAGGCCACTATTTCCATTGGTACACGAGTACAGTATACTCCTTGATAAGATTTCATGTCCTTTGTTCCAATTCAAATTATTTTTCTTCCACCAGTGCCTGTCTACATGTTACACCTCGGCAGTAGGGTCTTCAGTTTGGACAGCCAGCTGCTCATTTCTCTGCAACTAGCAGTGCGGCATCATGGCCACCAGAGGGCAACCTCTTTGGGTAGCATCACAAAACAGTGACACAGGAGGGAAAGCCCGCCTGAATATCCAAGTGCTTGCATTTTGTGGGCATTTATAATAACAAGTAACTTGACAGTGCAACAAGGGAAAGTTTGGAAAAGTTGTATTTCAATTCCCAGAACTGCTGGTTAGGTATGGCCAGCAGGATTCTGAGCAATGAAATCCAAAAAGTAACATTTCCAAGCTCTGCAGCAAAGGATTTTTTTTAAAAAATCCTCAAGACATTAAAAAAATTCTATTTAAATATTATCATCACTACTGGAAGAAACAGAAGAAGGTAAATCAGAAGAAGGTGCCTTTTCCATTTTCTCTCATTAGCTGAAGACCTAATCTGCTGCAGCCGTTCTCAAACCATGTGGGCAAGAAGCCATTTGCTATCATGGCAAAGATGGAAAGGTAAGGCTGACAATGATTAAGCCATATTCTTGTAACTGAGGCCCTCACAGATAACATACTGTAGGTCCTGTGTGGCTGGGAGAATAACTGAATTCTTAAATTCAGTTAAAATTCTTAATTTAGTTATCAGTAGTTGGCTCCGCAGTGCCAACAGAATCCGCAGCTAGTGGCTAAGCAGCATCAGTCACCTAGCTTAATCGTTTACCAAGTAATCCTAAAACAAGTGTAACCGAAAAGGGAGTAATTCATTCCTTTGCTGGAAGTGTCAATTGCTACATCCTTAATTTAATTAATTATATTAATTTAACAACTGTGGAAATTTAACTCAACCTCCTTAACTTAATTAATTATATTAATTGTATTAATTTAACAACTGTGGAAATTCAACTCAACCTCCTTAACTTAATTAATTATATCAATTAATTTAATTTAACAACTGTCGAAATTTAACTCAACCTCCTTAACTTAATTAATAATATCAATTAATTTAATTTAACAACTGTCGAAATTTAACTCAACCTCCTCCCTATCTCTACCTCAGACAAGAGGAATGTTTCTCCTCCTGATGTCGTTGGGCTAGAAACCCCATCAGCAATAGCCTGCATAGTTAACAGTGATGGGTGATGGGACGTGTAGTTCAACAACTTTTAGAAGGCCACATGACATCCATCCTTGATCAAATGGATAAGAGAACCTGAGAGCTTGGCCCTTGTATTTTTAATTTAGATGTCTTCACTCATTTTCTGTGGCTCCTTCCAACCTAAAAGCCACAGCTATTGAAATATTAAACCAAGGGTAATTGGTACATCGCCCTATCACATGCGGTTCAGTATCTGAGGTAGCTATTTGGTTGTTTCCCTGGTGAGGAGCCTTGGGTAGGGGAAACCCAGCCTGGCCAATTCTTGTTTGCATACACTCACAATGGAAGTAAATTCAACCTTATCTCTTGGTTATTATCAAAGCTGTCCTTTTTCTGTGGGGAGAGCATCTCCCTTCCTTTTCAAGTGTCAGGAGCACTGAAAACCAAGGTATGTGGCATTCAGAAACTTGTATGTCAATACAGTCTTGTCACATAGCACTGAGCTCAATGTCTAGTTAGGGACTGCTCTGTCCCATGTCCAGTCTGCTTAGCCATTCGAAGTGCTATGTAGCAATGAACGTCACCTCAGTGGAGATGGGGAAGATTTGCGCAGGGTCATCATTGAGCACTCTGTACAGCAACTCTTCCTTCTCCTGGCGAGCTTGTTCTTTGAGCTGCGACTCCTTCTCCAGGGCCTCACGAAGTTTCAGGACCTCATCAGAGAGTTGCCTGTAAAACAGAACCAATGCCATGATAAGTTTCTTTGAAGACTATAGTCAGCCGTTCACATTTGCGGATTTCAGTTTTGCAATGTTGATTATTTGTGGATTTTATTAACATGTTCTCTCTAGGAATCTCCAAGCCCTTCAGTGTGATTCTAAGGTCCACACATTGATCACAGAATTGCATTAGAAAGCCTAGAGAAATGATTTCTCAGGTTAAAGGGTGATTTTTATTTGAGATTCTTTTACTTTTGTGAGGCTTCTATACCCCTAACGCCAGTGAATGGGGAGAGATAACTGTGCAGTTGCCAGAATCCCCCTGCCAGCATGGCCAGTGGGATATATGAACAAAGAAAGGTATCAGAGGCAGCACCCAAGGTCCCACTGCCTAAGGCAGAAATGACTGTCCCCTGTGAACACCCTATTTTCTGCAATCTCAGCCACTGAAGTATTTATAAATAGCTTCTCTAGAGGTTTATCTTCCCTCTTTCTAACAACCTGGTTTCTTCCTGGACCTAGCTTGAGTGGGGTCAAAGATTAGACCTGGAACCAACTGCATGCACAGCAAATGCTCTACCACTGAGCTAAGATCACTTCCCTAAATAATACAGGGCATTTCTCAGAAATGATATGGTCGGTGGGAAAAGAGAAAAAGGAGCAATTTGAACTGGAAACTACACCATGGATTTCACAACAGGGTGGAGCACATTAAATGCCTGTACCAGAGATAATCAGGCAAATGTATTTAAAAATAGCCTGGAACCAAGTAAAGTTTAGCATTTTTTTCCCCGTAATGCGGATTGCAACAACCCTCTTCAAATATTTGGGAAAAACTTCTCCATTATTTATCAGAACACACTGACATTAAATGTTGCACAGGACACAGATATTTTAGAGATTCTTATACAGTGTTAGAATTTTTTGCTACTACTTTTAATTGGTTGGCTTTTTGCTATCTGTCATAGCTATGCTATCATTGCTGCTTCTCTAGTCTAAATAGCTTGCATATATATAACAAGGATAGTGAATCTAGTCACCCTAAAGTTTCTAGTAGACCTTTTTCACATCTGTTTCTATAGCCGATCTCTCAAACCCTTCACAAAGGCATAGTATGCCAGAGATGCACCATGCAGCTGAAGACAATACCTTGTCACTGTTATGTGATTCTGCATCCGTACATGGAGCTCTTCATTCTCCTGCTGAAGGGTTTTCACTTTCTCCTCAAGCAACAAATTCTGCTCCATCTGTAAGAGGCCAGAGGAAGGATCAAATATTAACAAACACTACACAGATACTGTGGGCACATAAAAAACATCTAGTAATCTCAAAAAAAAAAAAAGCACAGAACCACAATACTTTGTTGGGATGCAACCTATGGGAAACTTTTCTCAGAAAGTTGAACAGCAATAAGGATATTTCAGGAAGGCAACAGTGCTCCTACATCTACAGACCTTCAAAATGTAGAGTTTGGACATGTTGTCCTCTATAGGAAGCCAGAGAAGACCGGGACATCAATATGTAGCATCCATGGAAAGGCAGAGTTTGGAAGTGTTACTGTTTTGGATTACATTTCCCATAGAGCCTCACAGATTACACCTCTGCTGTAGTCAAAGGGAACTATAGTCAAAAATGAGCTTTTCCAAGTTCAAGGGAAGATACAGTGAGGTCACTTAAGTATACAGCACAAGGCTTTCCAAATTCATATGTTTTTTCTAATGACCAGAAAGATTTATGAAATATTAATAAATTTAGCAAACCCACCACTGTTTCCAAGTAAAATAGCTTTTTGTCCAAATGGTGGATGCGTTCATTTTTCATCTCAATGACAAAATGCAAACTCTCTACTTCCTGCTCCCAGAACGGGCTGGGACTCCCATGATCCTAGAAAACAAGAAGAGGTATGTAAACATTCATCCTAAAACAGAAGGCTGACAGCCAGCATTTCACATTCTTACACTAATGTATATATGCAAGCATATATGTATATAATGTATACATGTAGGAACCTAATTCCACCCAGAGCTTCACTGTCTTCAATATATTAGCGAGGAACTACATCTTATAGCCTATGCCAGGGAGTAAGTTCCACTGAGCTCAAGGGATTTTCCCACTGTAATGTAGTGTGTATGTGTATTGCTAATTGTATGGACAAATTTACTTGTATGGATACACTGCTTGATGTACAAATGTATGCATGCTAGCTCAGAAGCAAGTACCTATGAGTTCAATGAAATATACTTCCCAGTTTCAATTGACTTCATTATGCGTATGGTCAGTATCTAATGACTATTCAGAACAGGGATGGGGAATCTTGGGTCCTATAGATGTTTTGGACTTTAGCTACCAGAGTCACCAAGCAATCTTGTAAACTGTGAGAGCTGTAGTCCAAATGTCTAGAAGGCCAAGCCTTCAAGCAAAATTATATTAGTGTGCTTTTTAAAAAATCTATCCTTTTTGCATAGTCAGGAAGCCTTGGTTCCTTTCAGAAGGCTTCTTTCATGAGTTGGAACATGGTTTCACATAACACAATGTCTATTGGGAGAGTCTTAGCTAAATGCATAAAGATTATCCCTTCAACGTGCAAATTTTGGGCATGGGATCAGCAAGGAGGTATGATTAACATGTGTAGTTTTGATCCTTTTCCAGGCATTAATTGAACATGTGAGAGGGAAGTGTGCTTGCGATGGGAGGAGGTAGAATTGTTCCATTTTTCATAAACAAAAGATTCTACACAGTAGATCATGCCTGGTTTTGCTCATGGTACCTGGATGTGCTTCCTATAATCTCTGCTCAGGACTGACTCCTCCACTCGTTTCATTTTGTCTTCAAAAGACTTCATCTGGGAACTCAATTTGTCTATAGTCTCCTGGAACAAGAAGATGAGGCTGAATGCATTTGAACAGATCCACTCCTCTACAGAAACATGCATCATTCACTGTTTCCCTACTCAGACAAACACCATGTCATAGAAAGCTCAGAAGATATGCACCAGAAAGCTAGATAAGTGCTTCGCTAACAGATCCAACAATGGAATTGGTAAATGGAAGGTTGCTTACGTGTAACCGTAGTTTCCCGAGTGGTCACCCGTGAATTCGCACATATGGTAATACTTCTGCGCATGTGCAGCACAGCTCCAGAATCTTCTGTTAAATTTGAAAAGGATTGGCGATTGGCCCCGCCCACACTCCCCTTGAGAGCATATATAGCCCGTGGGCCGGCTAACCGCCTCAGTTCTCTTCCGCTGCCTAAGCTGCTAGAAGGAGGAGGCATGACAAACTGCGGGGAGGATGGGCAGGGCTGTGCGAATTCACAGATGACCACTCGGGAAAATACGGTTACAGGTAAGCAACCTTCCATTTTCCCTGGTGGTCAGCTATGAATACGCACATATGGTAGTAGACTAGCAAGCTACTAACTGTGGTTGGTGGGCGTCATGCCACCACAGAGAAAAGTACTGCCCGACCAAACGCTGCATCTTTCTTGGCCATCAAGTCCAGCTTGTAGTGTGGCACAAACATTAGTGGCGTATACCATGTGGTGGCACGACATATGACATCCAACGGAACACCTTTCATAAACGCAGCCGTTGTGGACATCGCTCTTGTAGAGTGTCCCTTGACACCACGTGGGAGCTCCCGGCCTGATTTCTGGTATGCCAGCCTAATTACTGACACTATCCATGACGACAAACATTGAGATGACACTGGAAGCCCGCAGGAGTCCTTTCGGTACTTCATGAATAGTCTTGGGGTCTTCCTTATATCCTTGGTTCTGCTAAGGTAGAATGCTATTGCCCTGCGAACATCCAGTAAATGGAGACTGCATTCCAGAGGAGAGGTTGGATTTTGGAAGAAGGCTGGCAAAATTAGCTCTTGTGACATGTGAAAATTAGACGTCACTTTGGGTAGAAAGGAGATGTCGGTGCGGAGTACCACCTTATCCCTATGGAATCGGAGGTAGGGTTTGTCCCACCTGAGTGCGCACAATTCGCTAACTCGTCTGGCTGGTGTTATTGCCATTAAGAAAGATGTCTTCCAGGAAAGGTGAGACATCTCACATGTAGCCATAGGCTCATATGGCGAGCATTGGAGAGATGAAAGCGCAACCTCCAGGCTCCATAACGGGGCTATCGGTGCAACTGATGGTTTCATGTTTCCTAGGCCTTTTAGGAAAAGCTTAACGAGGTAGTCTGTGAAGAGAGAAGGCAAACTTTGCTTTCTCCTGTACCATGATATGGCTGCAAGATAGCATTTTAGTGAAGAGAAAGAAACACCTAAATCAGATAGTGATACTAGGAAATCAAGCCATCTGTCAGGGGTGATTTGAATGCAATATTCCTGCTTCTTGGCAGGGGGTTGGACTGGATGGCCCATGAGGTCTCTTCCAACTCTTTGATTCTATGATTCTGCCAGGCTGGGGCAGTTACCGGGTCATAACCCTTCCTTGTCATAAACTCTGAATAACGATTCCATTTATAAATATAGGAGCATTTAGTGGAAGGCTTGTGAGCTGCTTCCAAAACTGCTTTAACCTGACTAGATATCTGGTCAGATATCTCTAATTGTCTGGGGTGATTCTCCAGGCCATGAGTTTCAGGGTGTGAACATCCGGGTAGAGGACCTGGCCCTTCTGAGTGGTTAAAAGGTCCACTCTGCCTGATAATATCTTTCTGGAATTTCGAGTAGGACTGAAAACCACGATTGGCGAGGCCACCATGACGTGATCAGTATGCAATGACCTTTGTCCCTTCGAAGCTTCGAAAGAACTTTGAGGAGTAGGGGAACTGGCGGGAACGCATAAAGGAAGTCTATGTCCCATTTTAGAAGAAATGCGTCCCCTAAACAGCCTTGTTCTGGGTTCGCCTGACTGCGAGCGCAAAACAGAGAACATCTGGCATTCTTCTTTGAGGCAAACAAATCTATCTTTGGTGTTCCCCAAGCTCTGAAGAGAAGATTCAATTCTTTCTGATTGAGGGACCATTCGTGATTTGAAAGTGATGCTGTTTTGAAGGACTTGAATGCCTTTTCTACGGCTAAGAGTTCTAAAATGTTTATGTGAGAAGTGGACTCCTCGGGAGCCCATGTCCCCTGTGCCGTTAGGCCCTCGACGTGCGCTCCCCATCCATGTAAAGAGGAGTCCATTGTGACTACTCTGGATGGCTCGGGATGCTGAAATGGAAGGCCAGCAGTAACATTGTCTGGTTCTGTCCACCAAAAAAGGGACTTACTTCCGTAGGTATTCGCAATCTGACATGGGGGCTCTCCACCCAGGTTTGAATGCTGACAGGAACCAAGTTTGCAAAGGTCTGAGTCACATTCGGGCGTATGGCATGACTGTAGTCTTTGATGCCATATGACCCAATAAAACTTGCACTTTCTTCACGGAAATCCGGTCTGCTTTCACAGCTTGTGTTATAAGGGATTTCAGCGATGCAAAACGGTCCTCTGGCAAGAAGGCTCTCTGCTGCACCGAATCCAGGACCACTCCAATAAATTGAATTCTGCGACTCGGTTGTAGATGAGATTTTTCTCTGTTCACCACGAGACCTAGGGACTGGAGAAGAGAGAATGTGTTCGCAAACATTTGCATGAATCTCCTACCAAAGCCAGTTGTCAATATAAGGATAAATTGTAATGCCCTGTGTACAAAGGTGAGCCGCAATTACTGCCATGCACTTTGTAAATAATCTTGGGGCAGTCATTAGTACAAAAGGTAAGACATTAAAACAATAAGCTTTATCCCCAATCATAAAGGAAAAATACTTCCTGTGGTGTGCAACCATCGAAATATGAAAATAAGCATCTTTCAAATCAATGGTTGCAAACCAAACATCTTTATTAAGTAAAGGGAGAATCAAAGAAAGAGAAACCATACGGAACTTTCTTGAGTAGATATACATGTTCACTCCCCTTAGATCCAAGATGGGACATTGACCACCTCCCCGTTTGGATACCAAAAAATATCGTGAGAAAAAACATTCGTGAAACTTAGAGGGTTCAAGGGGGGAAATTGCCCCTTAACAATTTTGTAACTTCTTCTAACAGGGGTGGAGATTCTGGTGTAGATTTTAAGTGGCCCAACGGGGATTGTGATATAAACTCTATAGAATAACCTTCCTCTACAATTTGAAGAACCCATTTATTGGTGGTAATAGTAGCCCAAATATGTAAAAAGGGTCTAAGCCTATCAAAAAACATTGGTAATTGGGAAAACTCATGAACATGGGGCATAGTAAATTCTAGTAAACCTGTTTGTCCTTGAATCTCATTAGCATGAGGAACATCAAAGACGGCACCTTGCATTTCCCGTGGTCTTTGATATAGGGTTGGTATCTAGGCCTGGCATTATATCTCTGTTTGCGATTGGGCTGGAATTTTGAAGAAACATTCCTGTTCCCCTGACCCATATTATACCCATTAAAATAGTTCTTACGATACATGGGTGTTGATTGTTGCCAGCGTGGTCTCTGCTGGGCACCTGGCTGCCAAGAATACCTGTATCCGGCCGCTTGGAGTACCTCTCTTGAGTGTTTTGTTTTATCATTGGTTGTTGGGTCGAAAAAGCCTTCCTCATTCATGAGAAGGTCTTCCACCAATAAATGGCTTTCCTCAGATAATGAGGAGGCACGAAGCCATGCATGCCGCCTTATGGCTGTGGCTGAGGCCAATAATTTACCCGAAGTCTCAGCCATATGTTTACCAAGGTCCTTCTGGAATCTAGTGAGAGCTATTGCTTCTGTTTGAAATGCCTTAGGAAGACAACGGTCTTCTAATGGCAAGAGGTCAATATATGGAGTAATTTTATTCCAGAGAAAATTCTGGTAACCGCTCATATATGTTGCGTAATGTGCTATCCTAACAAATAATCCTGCTGCCATATGTACTTTTTTCCCAAGGGAATCTATCTTTTTACCCTCCTTTTCAGGTGGGGTAATGGAATATTTTTTAGGTCTCCTAGATTTTGCCACTTCCGCTACCACTGTGTTAGGTGTAGTGGGACGAGCTATCCACTTTGCTGAGGAGAGGTCAACCTTGTAGAGAAAGTCTACAAGGCTCCCGGCCAGCTCTCCTAGCGCTCCGGCCCCAACGCACTCCAACGCACCGCCGCCATTCTGAGGCTTGGACTGCTCTCCCAGTGCCCCAGCCAGCCCTTCCAACGCTCTGGCTTATGCCTTCCAGCAGGCCCTGGAAGTGGTTCACCCCCGATGGACAACAGACAATAGACCCAGCCTCTGGCAACGGCTACCTTGCCCCCACCCTCCGGCGTTCACCATCCCAGAGCAGTGTCTAATCTGCCGCTATCACACGAGACGCCCATCATCTCGTCTGTTAATTATCAACTCCGGAAGGATTGTGTTGACCATCTTTTGGCCCGGTTTATCGTGGCATCTCGTTGTTTCCAATTTTGGATAGATTGTGTTGACCATCTTCTAATTCGTCTATGTTGACCTCCTCTGACTGTGCGGACCATCCCTTATCCCGTTCTGTGTTGACCATCTCTGATTGTGTGGACCATCCTCATTGTGTTCTGTGCGGAGCACCCCGTCAACTTCAACTCCAGAAGGATTGTGTTGTCCATTTTGTTACCCGATACATCTTTTGGGGCAGCAACTCAAACTATTGAGAGGTGGGGGGGGGGGTTTAACTGCAACAATAACAACTATACTCAATGACTGAACGGAGAATTTAAGAACTAATCATTGCACTGTTAGCAAGTGAAGTGTACAGTTATCCTGTATAATTCCAGCACTTTACTCTACCAGCACTTTAATTCACTACCTCTGTGGCAAACTGGTCCATTAACCTATTCAGCCTTAGCACTTTAATTGATCCAACCATCTATTTATTTATTTATTTATTTGTTTGT